TATTGTCTCTGCACCAGCCCACCAGCTGCTCCACCTTGTCTCTGTAGTCCTGCTCTTTGTCATCTGAAGAGGCCCACAACCGTGGTGCCGTTTGGGAACTTCACCTTTAAAAACAAGTGTTTCTGTAACTTGTTTTTAAAGTCCAAATTTCTTAGAAGATATTGATCCTAGCATTAAGAATGCTGCCATTCCAATCTCCTTTTCCCCCCAAATTGTTCAGTTTTTGTATAGTTTTTCAGTTTGAAATCAGATTTTCACCTTTCGATTAACACAACTTTGTTTCAGGGGAAATTGCTTCTTGAACAAACTTTACTTAGATAACTACACTGTTAATAAACCTCTGCATATTAAACCAAAATAAGAAAGAATTCAATGTGCATGTTTGAATACATGCTATTATCACAGGAAACAGCTTGTTTTGACTATAAAGATCAAATAGAACAGCAGAAAAATGTCATGCCTCATATATAAGCTCTATATATATAGATATCTGCCGACAGCCTGTCAGAACCAGTAGGAGAGACCTAATGTTAAAGCGTCGTTTTGCAGCCTCTGAAACAAAAACAGGCTGGAACATGGCAATGATTGCACTGCTAACTGTGCTCATTGATGATGTTACAGGCTGGGGACATGCAGCGCTGGGATGAAATGTCTTTTATGGAGGAAAGAGGAGCCTCACCACACTTCTCACATTCTTCCAGTCTGAGGCGCTGCAGCCTCCACACCACAAAATGAGACAACACAGTACAGCAGTACAGTGTTGTCACTGTACTGCTGCTACATAAGTTGCCCTTTATAGACAAACATTTGGCAGAATCTAGTTTTAACCTTTTACTTTTAAAATTTTATGTGTAAACTAGATTTAATTGGTTGTGTTTTTCTATATATCGATCAAAAAGGAAATTTTTTCATTCAAGGCAATGCTATAAACAAAGAATGTAGTGAGCGAGGCGAGTTGCGTAACGGCTGTTTTTCTTCTCTCTGCTCTTGTTATTCACAGAATGATGTTATTTTTTTCATTTCAAATGAATTTTGGGAGAGAATAACGTTGGATGTGTACAAACAAATAAATAGACAGAAATGAACATCTATTCTCACAGAAAATATGATCACCTTCATTCTGCACAGGTCAATTCATTTTGTGTTATAAATATTTTTATCAGTCTGGTATGATATTGTAGTCTTAATTGTTATATTTTCTTTAGCTTTTAGTGAAACTCATCATCATTAACAGAAGTAAAGGCTTTGAAACAGCTTTCTGATCCTAACGTTTTAATAGTTCTAACTTACTGAATATGAGTGTGATAGGTCATATTTTTAAACCTATTTCTCTCATTTTTTAAAAACTGGGCTATTTTTCCAAAGCGCGTCTCTGATAAGAGCTATATTTGTCTCTGTGCTTCTGTTTGCATGAACTAAACCTGGACTGAGTGGCACAGTTTATTATGAGGATATTTCAGTCATGCACATGAAACAGTCTGTCTGTACAGTGCTGCCTTAATAACACATATCAACAAGTGTGCCTCCTATACCATACCATACCATACCAACTTTATTTATGAAGCGCTTTATACACCGAACAGGACCAAAGTGCTGTACACAATCATAAAATACAATAAAATTATAAAATAGAGAAAAAACGAGTGTAAAATACATATTAGTATACAAAAAGAATAAAACAAAGTAAAACCTCTCAAATTGTGCCAAAAGCCAAGGAAAAAAGATGAGTCTTAAGAAGGGACTTAAAAACAGCAAGAGAAGAGGCCTGTCTTATGCTCAGAGGCAGATCATTCCACAGCTTAGGAGCTGCCACAGAAAAAGCACGGTCTCCTCTGAGCTTGCATTTTGTCTTTGGGACCCTCAGAAGCAACTGATCAGCTGACCTGAGGGAACGGGAGGGTGTATAAGAATGTAACAGCTCAGACAGATAAGAAGGAGCAAGGCCATTAAGAGTTTTAAAAACAAATAAAAGAATTTTAAAATTAATCCTAAAATGTACTGGCAGCCAGTGTAAGGAAGCTAAAACAGGGGAAATGTGGTCGAATTTTCGTGTACCTGTTAAAAGACGTGCAGCAGCATTTTGAACCCTCTGAAGATGAGAAATATACAAGTCACTGACCCCTGTATAAAGTGAGTTACAGTAATCCAGCCGTGTGGTCACAAATGCATGTATCACTGTTTCAAAATGCTGTCTGGAAAGAATGGGTTTTACTTTTGCTAGCTGCCTTAAGTGCACTGCAAAAAATAGAAATCTCAATAAGTTATTTTTTCTTAAAATAAGTGCGTTTTTCCTTATTTTGAGGAGGTAAGTAAGACACTTTGCCAATGGAACAAGACAATTTCCTTTTAAAATAAGAAAAAACTATTTTATCGTCTTATTTCAAGTAAATATTATCTAACTATCTTATTTTAAGAGTGAAAATACTCATTCCATTGGCAAATCATCTTATTTACCTGCTCAAATTAAGGCTAAATATACTTAATTTAAGCCATTTTTTACTTATTTCTAGATTGTTTTTGCAGTGTGGAAAAAGCTGGACTTTATAACGGCTCTGATGTGCGCTTCCATTTTAAGACCAGCATCCATCTTAACCCCTAAATTTGTAATAACCGGCTTAACGTACTGAGCCAAGGAGCCAAGACTGGTTACGGAATCAGCAGTGGATCTGCCAAAGATCATTACGTCCGTCTTGTCCTCATTGAGTTTTAAAAAATTTAGGGCCATCCAGGCCTTCACATCTTCAAGACATAAAAACAGAGACCGAAGAGAGGTGGAGTTTACATTCTTTAGCGGTAAGTATATCTGTGTGTCATCTGCATAGCAGTGAAAGGCAATCCCATGTTTTCTGAAAATAGAGCCGAGCGGAAGAAGGTAAAGTGAGAAAAGGAGCGGGCCTAGAACTGAGCCCTGTGGGACACCACACGACAGTGGAGCAGAGGGGGACCTTTGGCCATCAAGACAGACACAAAAAGTACGTTCAGCCAAATATGATCTAAACCAATCTAGAGCTATGTGACCGACGCCCACCCACTGTTCCAGATGGGAAAGTAAAATGACATGATCAACTGTGTCAAAAGCAGATGATAAATCCAACAGCACCAAAACAACAACGTCACCTGAATCAGTTGCTAAAAGTATATCATTAAAAACTTTAAAAGGGCTGACTCTGTGCTATGAAATGGTTTAAGCGAGCAACACATTTGTCACAGCAGATTGTAGAGGATTTGAAGAAGATAGTTTTGGTTAGGATTTCCCTTATTACACGGGTGTCAAACTGGTTCCAGAAAGGGCCATGTGGCTGCAGGTTTTCTTTCCAACCAAACAATAGCACACCAGACTCCATTCATATCATCAAGTCATCATGTTCAGATTGGACTCCCTTGATGAGATGACTGCAGTCTGCTGTGCTATTGCTTGGTTGGAAAGAAAACCTGCAGCCACACGGCCCTTTCTGGAACCAGTTTGACATCCCTGCCTTATCACATTGATATTCTCTAAACTACTTCCTTCTTTCTAGCATTTAATAAGAACAACCTCCATACAGGCTTTCATGTATTTTATAAAAAAAAATAATCTGAATCCGAAAAACATTAGATTTTGGCTAATGTTGGTTTCACCTTTTATGATTTTCTTCTATGGTTAATAGCCCAATAGAAGAAGCAGCAGAAATGTCCATGTCTGAAGTGCATAAGATGGGATTTTAAACCAACTAGTGCATATTTCATTTTAGGCTATGGTCATAAAAGTGCAAGGGTGAGATTCCTGCCGCAGTCTGCTATTTATTTGAATCATAATTTAACTGCTGACCACATTTTTAAGTTGGAATTCTATAGTCACACCCAGGCCTGATGACTGCTGAATCTGAAAAATCAAAACTTGACAATATAGGTTCCCTAAAAGATTAAATCAAAAAATGCACCATACTACAATCCAGATGCAAAGGCACATGATAAACATTCAATGACTCAATCTGGAAGCAATCATATGGACATATGTAAGTTTTGGGACTGTAGTTAAACACACTGACAGCCAAAAGCTGAGAAATGGATAAAAAGGTGGGACAGTTGAGAACCTTCTCAAGATTGGTGGCCTACCAAAATTACTTAAGATCAGTGTTTGTTGTTTAAAAGAAAGAGACTTAGTTTTTAATGCATCAAACACTGCAAAAAATAGAAATCTCAATAAGTTATTTTTTCTTAAAATAAGTGTGTTTTTCCTTGATTTGAGGAGGTAAGTAAGACACTTTGCCAATGGAACAAGACAATTTCCTTTTAAAATAAGAAAAAACTATTTTATCGTCTTATTTCAAGTAAATATTATCTAACTATCTTATTTTAAGAGTGAAAATACTCATTCCATTGGCAAATCATCTTATTTACCTGCTCAAATTAAGGCTAAATATACTTAATTTAAGCCATTTTTTACTTATTTCTGGATTGTTTTTGCAGTGAAGGCCTGTGACACCAAGGTACGTCTTCACATTACACCAAGTAGTTTAAATAACTTTTTTCAGATTTTATGCACACATTACATAGTCTCTTCGGTTGCAGGTTGAGCTCCTGTATTCTACTGCACTGTTGGCCCGAGTAAAAAACATTCTGACCAGTCTTAAATAGAACAAAACAATTAGAGGTTAACTGGTCTTACTTATTGAGAGATTATTGGTTAAATCCTTCTGTAGGTATTTGTGTAAGACAATACATAATAAAAAGAAAGTGTGAGGGTTAAATACTGGTGTGATGAAAAGAGATTTACCAAGGTTCAAATACTTTTTACTGTTTTATAGAGGGGACATACCACCATGTTTCTAGATTACACTGAGCAGAATATGATCTCTTCCTATTTTTTTAGTGATCGTACACTAATTTGTACCACTGCTCAGGTGGTCTTTTGAATATACATGATATTTCTCAAGTGTTGCATTCCTTCTTAAATCTAAACTTAAAAACTGCATGAAAGGTAACCAGGATTGCTTTTCTTTTTTGCTTGTCTCCTCTAGTCTCCCAGTCCAACAGCAGTCTAAAGAAGCACAGAAGCAGGAGCATTTTTAGCCCTTTCTTTTGCTGCTTCCGGAACTACAATGACTACCATGTGGAGGCACCGCCCGCCAATAACAAGACACTTTCACTGCCCCCACCTCCAGAGGAGAACGGTAGTCCTCCTAAGGTAAAACTCGTGTTTTTCTGTGATCGCTGGCGAGAGTCCAAATTTCATATCATTAACGTTCAGAAATCCCTAAAGTCCTTAAGTGATGTTTTTAATCTTTCAAGACAGTAATCCTAGTTTGACTATACAGGCAAGCAGTGAGGAATAACAATTGTTTAATTTTGGTGCAAAAAGTGTGTTGGAGTTTGCTTTCTCCCACTGAGGCCTCAGGCGGAGGTGCTCTACTGCCTCACTGAGCTCTCCCTCTGCAAATTTTTCCAGCTGCTTCAAACCCGATGAACCCAGAGGTTGTTTACAATCTGCTGCTTAAGAAATACGGGCTCGCTTCCCATCTTGCATTCTTCAATATCTGCCTACTCGCATACACACTAACACACGCTTTGAAAACCTTAAACATACGCAATTGATCCCTGTTGGTCAGACATTAAACTAAAAGGCATCTTACCATGGCAGCACACATGTAAATGCTGACATGCACTCCCACCAGAACCTCTCTAATCCCCATAAAGTGGACCTTGTTCGTGTCCCGTATGATGGATTGCTTGGCACCAGAGACTCCCCCTCTCTTCTTGCACAGTCCAACCAGTGTAGTGAGAGTGTGTGAAGAGAAAGGCTCCAGCTGTTGAAAAAGGCGCCAAACCCTGAAGCTCCTCTACAAACAGTGTTCTGCAGCCAAGCGCAGGTACAGTGGGCTAAAAATGGAATCAGGATCATCACACATCCAGTCTTGTTTGTCTGTAAATGTCTAACACTCAGGGGAGAAATCACTTGTCCTCTACAGACTCTTTACATGTGGTCAATACTAAACTTTTTCAGACCTCTTTATAACAAACGTGCTCTCCTTAATTTATGGAGAAATTAGAAGATCTGTTTCAAAAAGATTGTTTTTCTTTTTTTTAGTGAGGCTGATTTTCAGTCTGGGTCTGCACCCACAGTCCCTCCCAGTTGTGTGCTAGGGGTGTAAATCACATCCATCATGGCGATTCGATTCAGTATCGATTTCCTGACCCAACGATTCGATTATTTTCGATACTCAAGAATACACCACGATTCGATTCGATTCGATTAATCGTTTAATTTTTTTTATTATTATTCTTTTTTTTTTACACCTTACAGACTAAACAAAGTTTCAAGTTTGAAATAAATCAATGAAAGCTGTAATATCATTATGCATTTTCTTTAGAAACAACAGCAAATAACAGAAGTAGAAAAGTTGCATCAAAAAATACTGCACAATATCAGTGTAATGAGTTCAATGCAATACCTCGGCTCCAGAGAAACTGTCCAACATATTTTTTTAGAATGTAATAAATATACTCAGGAAAGAGAGATGTTGCGTAGAGAGTTAGACAGGAATAAAAATAAACTAGATATAAGGGAATTGTTTCAAAGGTCATCTGGGGATGTAGTTTTTGGTAGTATTTTTAATTTTCTAAGAAGAACGGGTATTTTAGGGAGAATATAATAGTTTGTCTGGTCCATACTCCATTCTGGAAGGTGGCGGTAATGCACCTATAAGTTGTTTGCCAACCGCCATTAAAAAAAAGAAGAAGAAGAAGGCTCCAGAGTGTCGACGTCACCGCCCCCTTGAGAGACGCTCCGCTGCAACTCTCCCAGATTGTAGCTGACCGCAAACAGTGCAGCAGACAGGAGGCCGGCTTGTTTTGTTTTTATGACCGAAATTGCGGAAAACAACTAGTGAAGTTTGACCCGCTAGAAGAGCGAGGTGCGCAAGACCGCTGGGACCCTTTTTTCCAGCTGAAACTCCGCTCTTTTTGGCCCTCATGTCCCTCCGTCGTCGGACTAAACTCGTCCCCACTTCCTCACCGCCTCGGCCGTATCTAGACCCACCGTGTGTAGCTCAGACCACGCTTCAATACTGAGCATAATTTAAAAATGTCTGTGTGAAGCTTGCTGCAACAAACTGCTGTAAGAGTATAACCAGGAAGCGCGGTAGGAGGGCAAAATGGGTTTAGCGGCACCGCAGCACGGGAGGAAGAATTACGCCCAGGAGGAAATGGATAAAAATAGACCGGAGGGGAAAAAAAAACATGAATCGATTATCTTGCGGAGGTGTCGATGCATCGGATCGTCGGCTTTTGGATCGATGCATCGATACAAAACGACTATTATTTACACCCCTATTGTGTGCTGTCGCTGGATTTCTAACCAGCCAAATTTGTTACTATGGCAGCTCTGTTTGTTTTTGTCCAAGTTGTTTTCAGTTTTCCCCCACTGTTTGTGTTACATGTCCATCTCCCACATCTTTCCCCACTTTTCCATTTGCTGGTTAATGTATTGCTGTAGTTTGTTCTTTTGACTGTTTTTTTCTTTTCTTCTGTATTTCCCTCTTCAATGTTTTTTTTCCACACCATCTCTCAGTGTCTGATTTTTTTTCTGTATTTATACTCTTCAGACAGGTCATCCAAATACCCAGTGTACCTATTGTAATAAATTTTTTTCTTCATCATACTCCATCACGCTAACCTTTTCCCTATGCTCGAGGACATCAATCATTCAGGCTGAATGATTCCTGTATAAAAAAATATTCCGGCTTCCTGAAGTTCATCAGACAATTTAATTTTCAAGTGTTCCTTGTGAGATTTTTAAATTCCAAACATGAAACTTTTATAAGAATATTTCATATTCACCATAATCCAATGGCCTTACATAACTGAAATCTGAGATTTCCTAAAACTTTCATGTAACTTAGTTAGCGATCAGTGTCGGGTAAAGCTAACTAAAAATTGAGTTTCACTACTCCATGTTTCGAAAGCTAAATTATTAAATTTTCTACTAAAACAGTTAAAAACATTTGTGGAAGCTAACGCAAACGCTTAAGACTCTGGGTTACTACACGTTTTTCTATCCTGAACACAATGTAAAAACTGCCCACCTGAACAAAAAACAGCCCAAATTCAACGTCTCTTCAAACTCATATTAAAGGCATAAAATATTACACATGAAAACAAATAACTGGAAAACAGCTTTTTTTTTTTAAAAAAAAAAAGGAAAAGATCACAGGCTCTTAACAAACAGCGGAGTTTGGGAATCTTTTTGAACCCTCCTATGACCATTCTGCACCTGCTAATAGAGGTTCCACTCTCTGTCTGCCGGTGGGTGCATGTGTATCTACCTGGGTGCGAACCCACGTGCTTGAGCTTAAGACAGAGTATGAGGCTTCATCTCATCGGCATTTGACTACAGTGTAAATACTTAGTAAGGCTAAGGAGCTGAAATACATGGGGGTAAAGCATTGTCGTTAGAGCAACTTCAAAGTTTCCTTGAGACCAAAATGACCCTTCAATCCAACTTTTGAGGAAATACTTTTTCCCTAACTTCCTCTCTCATACACAGACAGCCAAACAAACTGCATAAAGAACAAAAAGGAGGATCTTTGTCTAGTCTATAAAGTAGTAGACATTGGATAAGCGTTACATTTAATCCTGATCTGGCTGAAATTTAGTGGCTACACTGCAAAAAATATAAATCTCAATAAGTTATTTTTTCTTAAAATAAGTGTGTTTTTCCTTGATTTGAGGAGGTAAGTAAGACACTTTGCCAATGGAACAAGACAATTTCCTTTTAAAATAAGAAAAAACTATTTTATCGTCTTATTTCAAGTAAATATTATCTAACTATCTTATTTTAAGAGTGAAAATACTCATTCCATTGGCAAATCATCTTATTTACCTGCTCAAATTAAGGCTAAATATACTTAATTTAAGCCATTTTTTACTTATTTCTGGATTGTTTTTGCAGTGTACAGTCCAAAAAACCTGCCTGTACTTTCTTGCAAGTTAGAGTTTACCTTGTAAAACATTCTTAGGAAATGTTAGTACTTCCCAGGACCTTTACACCCTAAACTAATTTCCTTCCTGAAATTATCAGATTGTTTTATGAATCTTGGTTACTTTCAGGAACTTTCCAGGAATTCTGTCAGAATTTTAATGGGACTTGCTGTTTGCTTTGACCAAATTTGAAATGTACTTTTTCCAACCTGCTTGTGCAAATTCTTCTTGGTGGTGGCAACCAAGAAATACACCTAAAAAAAACAACAAACAAAATACAGAAAACTAAGTCTGATTTAATCTGATATTAGCCAATTTCTTTGTTTATATATTTTTTTAAATGTACAAGGTATTTTCCTGAAAATGTTTAGAAATTACTTTCCTGAAAAGAAAAAAAAAACTATGCTGACGTTTCTGAGAGAAAGTTGCAGTGACAAACAAATACTTTCAGAGTCAACAAATAAATTCCTCTCTCTTGATATAACCCAGCTTCAGGGGTCTGAGCTGATGCTGCAGTTCATTTAACTACTTTAGATTGTGTTAGATGCATGTGGTTTAATGTAATTCAGAATATTCACACTCACAGCATCCCATTGTCTTCAGCTAAGCTTTAACCTACATCACCCAGCAGAAACATCCGTTTCAATAGCAGGCAATTCATGTTGCATTGTGGGAGGCTCTTTGTTGTTTTATACCTATAAACCTATCTAGCAAACACATAAACAAACACATAAACAGGAAAAAACTAGGGTTAAAACAAAAAGGCAGCTCTCCCCTACCAAAACAGTCTGCACAAGTTTACATGGCAGCAAATTAACAGCACATTCAGTCCTACACACAACGACAGAGGTGTATGGCAGACAAATGGTCCAGAGGCCCTGATGTGCAGCTTCACAGGTCTTAAATAGTGTGCAGGTGATTGCTGATTGCACTGAGACCCAGGAAGCAGCGCCCAGTCTTAGAGGCAAAGCCTAAAACAGAGCAAGGTGCAAAAACAAAATGACATCCATCTTGGGGATGCAACAATTGTTTGGAAAAATCTAAATCACCGGTCACTTTCTTTGTCTTAGTTGACATTTTTAAAGTTTATGCCAGCTGCTGTAAAAAATGTAATCCAGGCTGAATGTGTAAAGCTACAAATAGTATCTTAACTGTGAATAAAACCGCCTTAAAATTTTTTGCCCTAACTCACCTTGTTTATATCATCAGACAGTTTGTTCTACGCTTAACCACTAAATATGGTGAACATAACAATTAAACCTGTCTGTGTTTTCTCTGCAGCCTCCAGCCAAGTTCCTCCTGCCTGAGGTCAGCATAGATGATTATGGCAAGAACTGTGTGGTGATCGACCTGGATGAAACCCTTGTACACAGCTCTTTTAAGGTATACTACACCATCCATTGCTCCTTTATGCTAATGGAATATTTAATTCCTCAAAGAAAGATATAAACAATACTTAAAACTTACGAGAGGTAAGTTAAAAAATATCTACTATATGTAGTATGTCTGGCATAGTATCAAGAAAAAATACAACCAATTGTTTTGATAGTTGTAAGACAGTGTGAATTGAATATGTCAATATATATTTATCAACTTCAAATGCATCGAAAAACACTTTTTTACTTACATATTAATTTATTTTTTTTCATCATGGACAATAAAAAATTCATTTCAGTTGTCACTATCCCAATATTTTTAGTAATATAACATTTAGAAACCAACAGGCTTAAATTGGAAGGCTTTTGCTCAGGTGGGAGCCAACAAAAAAACTGAGTGGAAGTCCTGTTGCCTTCAAATTTAAGCCTATTTGTGGTTGCCATGACCTAGATGACTAAGAATTTACACAGGCAATATAACAGTGAAGTTCGTTCAACCTATGGGTATATTTTAAAGATGAGCTAACTATTATTTCCAAGATCGATGGCATCTGAACAACGAATCAAAGTATGAGACGTAGACAATGCTGAAGACAAATTTTGTTCCAAACTAGTCATATTCTGACCTGCTGTATAAAAGACAAAATAATGTGCGCTACAAGCAGCCCAGACTAGCTTCTATCATTAGAGGGTGGCTGGACTCAAAGGTGTATTAACACTAAACACTAATGCAGCAAATGGAGTAAGTGATTTATATGTTCCCCCTTGCTTAAAGTGCTTTCAGGATCGAATCGACGGTCGGAGATGCCAAGGCGCAAAGTGAAACAGCTATAGGAGCAGTGAATCTGCGGATAATTCAAACATCTGAACTATTCTGTCAATTTGCATTGATTTAACTGGTCATGGACTGAATGTAGCTGCGACTTTGGTTAAGTAAGTGCAGCAGAGATTAAGCTTTTTTTAGGCAAAAGCTTACCACTGGTTGATATAATCCCTTGCTTCACTAAAGCAGCTCCCAATGCTGGGTCCCGAAAGGAAGTACTGCTGTAAGCAAACATCCAGGTGTATTTCATGAGGCAGTTGGCTAGACTACCGATAAGATCTGGTGGACCCAATTATGCTGGTGCTTAAGTCATAAAATCATGTCATGGTTAGCCAAGGTTAAAGTTTTTTTTTAATAAGAGATAGAGAGGAAATGTGAGGCGACCAGTGCCAGACAAACCACGCAAATGCAGCTTTAGAGATAAACAAAAGCTCTCTCTCTCATCTGGTGCTAGGTCAAAGTATAGCGTCTCCAATTGTCTGCATGAAAGCGGAGATATAATAGCAGGACTGTGTGTACCTTGCGCGAGCCCATAGAAACGCATTGCACCTTTTTGGTTGACGCAGATTTAGGCGCAGTACTCGCAAAAACCACAAAGGGGCAGGGTTCAAAATAACAAGCGGAAACACAGAAAAAGTGAAAAGGTGTGTTTAAGGCAGCTACACAGAAATAAATGGTAGAATAAAATGATAGGTTTACCTGCTGCACACAGAGAAAGCTGACGATAGGGAAAGCAGCCTGCCTATGAAGCCCATGCGGATCTCTTTCTAAATAACAGATATGAAAACAATGTGTTTTATTATCCACTGTTGGTAGTTGTTTTAAACTTCAGTTATGCTGTCGGTGATTGTTTCTATTGGCTAATAAACTTACAAATTGCTGTCACAGTAACAACACTGCATTTACCAAAACTTTGCCACTTAAACCTTCTGGACCATTTGAGATCAGTACAGGCCAACTTCTTCAAACCAAGCTTTAAATGGAGTGGGTTAAGGTGGTTCAGCCACCTCTGAGCTATCGTAAATTTTCATAATCTTCTTTATTATTTCTTTGTTTTGCACAGGTGTCTGTATTCAAAAATGGCTTATAGGGCATCACAGTCTCACTCCCAACTCTTTCAATACTGATGCTTGTTCAAACCCCCCTGCACGTTGCATATTGACACGACTGGGTACCCCTCTCTTCATTTATTAAAATGCACTGTAAATGACAGGTTGCAAACATGGCATTACCTGACCGACACATGACCTCTGATTAAATTTTAGCTCCAAATCTAGCATTCGTAGCTGTAGGAGTGTATGATGACATGTATACAAGGGTTTAGGGGTTGGTGTGAGCCTGTCATGTACACTGCATGTCAATAAATGAATAGAGGGGCTCCCCTGTCACATCAGTATCTGATCCACAGGGTATGTGAGTGAGACTTTTTAGCATCGGGTACAAAAGTATATTTATAGTACATCATAAATTTGAACTTTGTTTCTCTATGCAAGGGGTTGGCAACCCGTGCCTCCAGAGCCTCCCAAGTGCAGCTCTTTAATGCCTCCCTTTCAGCTCCCTGGAGCTTTTTTAAAAATGTAATAAAATGGAAAAATATGGATTTTTTTTTTGTTTTAATATGTTGTTTCGTGTGCATGAGGTCAGACAAGCATTCATTATGTTTCTAATGCTGTAAATATTTGTATAATAAATAAATTTAAACAATACATTTTAACATTTCTGTCAATGAAGATTTGCGTCATAGCCTGCAACACATGTTTCAGCACGGTGTGTTGCCAGGCAGATGGCTGTTGTAAACAAAACGGCTGATGTGTCTTGGGTCATGAATCCCAAAGGGAAAAAAAGCAGGATAGGTGATGAGAACAGAGGATTCTAAGAAGAATGGACAGAATCATTGGCCTTCATTACCAATGCGGAAGGATTGCCTGCATGTTTGCTTTGTAAAGAGAAGTTGTCAAAAAATAAAAACAGTAACTTTGAAAGGAATTCCCAGTGAACATGTGATAAATATGCAGCCGACCACCAAATTGGGAGTGAGAGAAAAGTGAATGCAATACTTCTGAATAAATCACAGGAAAGCAAAGATAGTGCTGATACTCCACTACTGCTGCTAGTTTTGTTGCAAGCATGAAAAACCATTCACAGATCAAACAGGTAGCTCTCTTATGCAGGTATGTTAAATTTCTTCCATTCCCCCCTCCCAAATCCTCAAAATAAAAATAACACCAAAAATTAGATTTCTTTATTGTGTTTCTATAATTTCATCAATGCAACAAAACCTAATACATTAATATTGCATTGGAATTTAAACTTAAAGCACCGACAGTAGTCACATGATGTGACATTTGCCTCTGGATAAATTTAATCTTTTTATGCTTAATTCTTATAAGCCCACATAGTCTTTTTTATAGTGTGCTAATACACTTAGAGCCTGTGTTGCCATACAAGGCTTATATTAGGCTCCTGACAGATTTGTTTTTTCGGCTCAATATGACTATTTTAACAGTTTAGGCTGCTTTACGCCTTGAACGGAGGGCAAGATTATCACATGATATATAGACAAATATACAGTAGATACTAGACAATTAGGCACAGATCCTTCATGAATACTATAGCGTTTCTTTTTGCTTATATCAAAAGAAAGAAGCGCACAAGTGTTTAGCTTTCATACACAGGCTGTACATTATTTACATTTAAGGTTTCAATTCAACCAATTAAAGAGGTTGATTTTTAATGCTCCCTTATGTTTTAATGGCACTTAGTGTTTACACCTGGTGACCCATTTCCTCATCACTCTTCATCAGTCAGAGCTTTTCTTATTATTTCTGACTTCTACCAAAAAAAATCACCTAAATTAAAATCCATTGATTCATAAGCAACTAAAATGCCAAAGTAAAGATTCTTGTTGGATTTACAGCCAGAAGTAAAAAGCAATACATTTCTGTTCAAGTGGAGAGGCTTTTCATGAGACTAGAAGCTGAATTCCACATTTGCTGTGAAATGTCAAAGAAAACTATGCGCACACACCCATGGTGATCACAAGCCACAAACACATGTGCTTTTTCAGACATAAGGGTGTGTCCTTTACAGTGTACTGTTGCATTGAATGGCTGTGGCACGAATTTCCCAGAAATCCAGGATTAGTTTGTATAAAATGTTTTCATTTTTGTCAAAGCGGGTCTCATTCTCATACTCTTAAACGATCCATCCATGGAGAATTAGATTGCTTTAGAGATTATACAATTTTTGCTAGATGCAGGATGGACATTAGCTGATTGTTGGAAAAGAAGGACGATAAAAACAACACTTTTGCAGGGTTTACAGTTCCGTTCAGAGCCCTGCAGATTTCCTTCAGGTTTCCTGTTCAGATGTAATAGTGATTTGAATAATGTGTGTTTTTTTCTAAAGCACCAGAATTGAACAATAAGTGCAGGAAAAAGAAAACGACACAGGGACGCAAATGATGCACAGATGGACATAGACTAAAAAAGCAGCATTATGTAACACATTGCATATTCTGGTTTATCCTGCATGTTATGGATGAGGGGATAATTCCCAGGCTCGTTCTGGGATTAGGAGACACTGTGTGCTAGACATGCCAAAACAGCAAAAAGGATTATTTACATCATAACAAATTACGTTTATTCCACTGATTTGAACATGTGAGTACATGGAATCCAGATCTAAGGATCGGCTTAACTAATGCATCTGTGATCTGTGGCAATAGTTGGTCGCTTTTAAGAGGTCATAAAATAAAATATAAAAATCCTGTTTTAATATGTTTCACTGCAGAGCCTAACATTTTATTGATTGATAAGTATGTTCCATTTGTATTAAGTACCTCAGTATGAAAAATGAATAATTGAATATTTTGTATGTAGTATATAGTGCCTTACACAAGTATTTACAGTAAGTATTTATTTCACATAATAGTTTATCTAATGATCTGTCAGACTGGATGGAAACAGCAAATATTCTCCAGTCTTGTCACAAGTTCTTCAATGTATTTAGGTCTGGACTCTCTAAATCAAATTTAGCTAATTTTGTTAAAGTCCCCTACAATATTTTTTTAACAAAACATTGGGGCAGATAAAAGCTGTCAACAATGTTCATATTTTTTTCAAAACATTTATTCCCTCAAATAAAATATATTTGTCTTCTATGTAAAAAACAAAACAAAAAGAACCTCCCAACCTAAACTCTCCCATGTTGAGATATTTAGGAATTCTTCTTTCTTAGAGTTACTTAATCCAGACCTACTCTCGTTATTACACACTTCACCCCTTCCCTTTCATCTTCCTTTTACTTTCGAGCATCTCACAGCCTCTTATCCATGAGCAGCTGTTATATGTGCAGTCTTCCGATGAAGGAGCAATTCAGCAGAAGAGCAATAACCGAAGGAGTAGAGAGAAATCTGCTTTTCTGATCCCCACCCCGCCCTACCATGTTTGCCCTTTACTAGGTTGTAACAAAAACAAAAACACATAAAGCATAGTTTTCATGGTAGAAAGCACACTAGGTCTAGATTCTCTTATAGCTCATTTCTAGGTTGTGTTTTAAACAACTTATCAATTGCTTTGTAAACCCTACATAACAGATTTAGGGGGACATTTAAGTATTAAATTGAAACAGTTCTAAAAATGTTGATCAATTAAAGAAATCACTTACCTAATACCTAGGAACTTTAATTTATGAGGTTTGTGAAAACTAAAGGCATGCTGATCACTTTTAAAGCAAACACCCCCTCTGCTGGATGGCATTTAACTTCAAACTGGACCTTTATTTTGCCTTAAAGCCATAGGCCTTACAAATACATTTAGTATTTTAGGCTAGCTTTTATGTTTAACTAGGCTGCTATAATGATGCTAATAAAGAGGCCCACGATAAAGATATATATGTATATATATTTTTAATAGATCTGCAAAATCAAAACTAAGCTTTTTCTTTGCTTGCATTTTTTTTTCAGTTGCATTCTGCCTTCTGAAAACTTTGGTGGATTACATTCATGCCAGAGTGTCATGATAGAACTTTCAGCATCCCAGAATTTACATTGACGTAATTCACTTTTATCATAGATTCCACCAGGAAAACTTCAACAACTCCAATGCATTTAAGAAGTTAATCATATCAGGATAAACTTACATTATTTGTATTTAAAGGGTTCATTACTATCTAAAGTTACTGTTTATTGATCTGCCATTTTCTACTGGACAGCAAATAGGTGACAGCTAGAGCACTTAGTCCCCTGATAGCATGCATAATCAGATTTTTTTTACCTGTCACCTCTTTCTCTTTTTCCCTCTCACCAAAATTACTGGGCCTCCTACCTAATCATTTCATCCTTGTCTTTACATCCTCCTCTCATCTTCCACCCACGCCCCCTCTGGTATCTGTCTTTCTCTGCCTACTGCACCTTCTTCTTTTCCTGCTCCCGCTTTTTAAAATGACACAAGTGACGTAGAGAAAATAGAAACTCTCCTGTTCGCCTTCACATCTGTCATCTTCTTCGGCTCCCAAGTTCCTCTCCAGAGTACTGGTTTTTATTTAACACTTATAGAGCGCTGGAGCAAAGGGAGCCACATGATGACTAGAATCATCTCTTGCCTGAGGCACTTTTGCAGGACTCTTTTTTTTTTTCTCTCTCTATAAAACATGATATACAGTAGGAGTATAGCTGGGTTATCTTTTTGTGTGTGTAAAAAAGAAAAATACAAGATTTTGATCATCTTGTTCTTTTTTTGTCTTCCTGCAGCCCATCAGTAATGCAGATTTTATCGTCCCAGTAGAGATCGACGGCACTGTTCATCAGGTAATGCCGCTGAGATGTTAAGGAATTTCTTTTGTAGGCGTGAATATGTTAACTCTGTGCTGTCTGCTTTCATTTATTAGGTTTCCCCTGGGAGACTTGAGTCAGTTTTTTTTATTTTTTTCTGTAATTTTGTCATTATCTGTTATTACACATCTACTGTGCCGCATGAAAAATCATTCTAAATCTCTTAGTAGACTTTGCTTGTTTCAACGTCAGATGTCCCAAAACTTGTTGAAGACACTATTGGTCATGCAGAATTATTTTCACCATGAATATGATTTCACACTTTCGTCAGATTTCAGAGGAAGGTGAACGTTTCAAGACTGTAGCTATAACCTGGTTCAAGTAATCCAGGATAGGCTTTTTGGATCTACTTCAGCCTATCCTTGACTACTTGCGCTTGGGAGCAGCAACTAACCCACAAAGACCTCCTGAGCAGAACAGCAGAGACCCCAAATATGGATACAAGATGTTTTTCATGCAGTTAAAATATGTGGTTTCATAATCACACTCTGTGTTGTGATGCAACAGGTTTCTTGTGAAAATCAATCACAAGCTGAAATACACTTGGGTTTCAAACAGTTTGGCCTCACTTAAAACAAATTTCAGACTAGTCAGTGTTGTTAACATTGCAATAAAAAAGGACAAGGATATTGTTAAATATGAAATCAATCTACAATAGCAGAAATGCAAAATTAATTTATTCTAAGGAAGTTTCATTTGTAAAAGATTTTTAAATGTTATGCTTAATAATAGTTATTTACACATTACCATCTTTAGCAAATTGTTTGGCCTCTAATCCTGTTTAAAAGATCTTGGATAAATAAATGAGAAGTACTAAAGAACTTTTATAAACTTGCGGTTTAGAAAGCTTACATTTTAGACTGCCGCATTTGTATCCAGCTTTAATTTGTTTAGCAAAAAAGCTGAAGGAAAACTTGTTCGTGTGATGATCTTACTAATTCTAAGGCAGTCATTAACAAAGAACATTTTAGCTGTGAATGTTAGTGAAAAGGCTCAAATACAACCTTATTTGAATATACTATGAAACATTTTACTAGTTAAAGCTATAGTGGAGGATGTTCTTTTCCCAGGTCATCAAAATCAAAATAAGTGGTCCTCCTAATTGTCAATCATTCTGGTGATATGTTTAGGTAAGGCCGTCTTACGTGCTTGTCCCCATTTTCACTTACCGGTGGTGAGTTTGACATAGTGGAAAAAATTGCAAATCTTCTTTTGGAAAGTAAGCTTGTATGAGCGATGCAAACAGCAACTTTTAAACAGAACGTGCACGAGGAGAAATATGTTATTGCACACGTTTAATAGGCGTTCCCTCTTAGGTACAGAGTTGTACATGGGCATTTGTTTTTCTAAAGTTTAGAGGGCGGGTATTTTCGAAAATTCGCAAAAATCCTCCACTATAGGGGTAAAAATTTAACAAATTTTACCATATATTTGGCTTTTAAATATTAACCTCAATTATTGATTTCTTTAGTTGCTTTCAGTTACATCATACTCAGAAATTTAAGAACATTTCAAATAAAACATATCCGACATTTTGATCAATTTTGTAGCAGAATTGTTTGTAAGTGTAATCATGTAAATGCAGGTGCTAGTGATGAAACCCATTCTTATGACAAAAAAATCAAAAAAGAAAGACTGCTTTAGCTTTTCTCTTGAACCGGTTTAACAAAGGCTTCAACTTACCCCCCTGGTTTAACCTGATTGGTCGAAGGAAGTCAGTGAAAGGTATTCACATAAAGAATTTTTTGTACTGCCAGTTATCTTTGTTATTAAAAAATAAAATAAATATGAATAGACATTTGAGTTGCAGAATTAATGGCAGCTTTTTCGATAATGATGCAAATGAAAAAAAGACTCACAAAAATGTCCTCTATTTAAAATGAAGGAGTAAGATTTCTTTCCAAATATTGTATTCAGGTATATGTGTTGAAGAGACCCCATGTTGATGAATTCCTCCAGAAGATGGGGGAGCTGTTTGAATGTGTTCTCTTCACAGCCAGCTTAGCCAAGGTTGGTGTTTATAATACTTCTACACAATCCACAGTCATTTTTGTGTTCATGCCTTATTGATAATTTCTCTCGTTCTGGGTCTGTTCAGTATGCTGATCCTGTGGCAGACCTGCTGGACAAGTGGGGGGTGTTTCGCAGTCGGCTCTTCAGGGAATCTTGTGTTTTCCACAGAGGAAATTACGTCAAAGACCTGAGCCGGCTGGGTCGAGAGCTCCAAAAAGTCATCATCATAGACAACTCGCCTGCCTCGTACATCTTCCACCCTGAGAATGCAGTTAGTCATTATTTCACCCTTTTTATGGAAGCCTTCATTTACCTTAGAGTCCAACATACAGGGAAGCAAAGACATTATCTGGGGGTAAAGGACAAAAATCCATCCAATTTATTTATTTTCTTTCCATCTCAACCCTGTTTAGGGTTGGGGAAGGAATAACACCAAGGAGTGTATTTTGGGGTACACCTCATACATATAATCATCCATCGTAGATCCAAAACAGATGTTAGAATGCTTAAGGGCATTTTAAATGCATTTAGACTTAGACTTAGACAAACTTTCTTGTCATTTTGTATACACAAAGACAGTGAATGAGCTGCAGCTCAGCAATGAAAAAGAACAATAAAGTGCAGCAGTGATCAAATGTGCACAGTGTGGGAGAGAAGGTGCAAAAAGGCATTGATGTGGAAGATTCCGAGCAGTGCAAAAATAAATGAATGGGTATGGTTCAAAATGCACTAGAAGACATTTGTGTTGGCTTAGTTTGGCTTTGCACCTTAGAGAAAAATAGGAATATCAAAAGTAGTATTTATGCACAGGTATAGCATAAAAACAGAACCTTAGCATGGATTTGAACTTACTGCACTAATATCTGTCAACCTCTATTGTCTACCTAAAGCATTCTGATTCAAATAAAGAGTGTATAAACTTGTGTTAGAAATAAAATAAGTTACTTATTAAGTTGAAGTAGTGTAAGTGAAATTAGAATGTAGACATTGACAGTTTTTTCATCTGCATATTTAAGCCAGAACCCTGTTTCTCAATTTTTAGACTTCTGTGCTTCATGGAGAACTCGCTGCAGCTCTTTTAGCCTTTGATATATTTCTGCCTATCAATTATTTACGCAAAACTCACACCGGCTTCTCACACATCATGCAAGACCTCAGAAATTGTTCTTAGCTTGGTCCCTTTGCTCACTCTAAAATCAAAGCTAGTCTTTTCTCTCTCTTCAGGTCCCAGTGCAGTCCTGGTTTGATGACATGACAGACACAGAGCTGCTGGATCTGATCCCTTTGTTTGAGGGTCTCAGTAAAGAGGAGGACGTTTACAGCCCTTTACAGACCTTGAGGAACAGGTAGCAGAAAAGAAAGTGCTTCTTCAGGGGGAAGCTTCACCTCTCTGCCACGGTCCTTCAGCCCCGCTCCCTTTTTCCTATCAGGAGGGCAGCCAGTCTGAGCATTCAAGGCAGACTGCTTTGAATTTTAAGAAAAATCATTTCAATGACTGTGGATTCTTTCCATCTGTTGTCTCCTGGATTCATTCGACAGGACTCATGCTGATAAAATATTATTATTATTACTGTATGTACATAGTAAATGTTTCTATGAGTAAGATACACACAAAATAACTTTTCTATCAGAGAGAAGCAGTTTTACTATTCTATCAAGAGTCTATCAAGTAATATTTTAGTTACCAAAAAATAAAATCTAAGTCATGTTTTTTTTTTTTCAAGATCGTATGAGCTTTACTTTCTTTGTGTTGTGTGTTTAGTTTCAACAACTGTGATTTTAACTTATCTTACAGAATGAAGTGCCTTCATTACTGTGCTGATTTTAGTTCACTTTTTTAAAAGGTTAATTAAAGGACGGTGGGTAGGGGGGGTTGAATTGGAAGTATTTTAAATTTGTAAATCTAAAAATGTATGTTGCAAACAAGCTTTTGTAAAATGAAAAAAGTCTGATATTTATCAAAACTACCCTGTTTTGTTTTTTTCCTTAGCATTAAATTGATAAATTCGCCAAAGACATTTGCAATTTAATGTGGTCTCTGTCTCATCAGCAGTAAAGCTCTGACCCCCATCAAAACAAAAGTCCTGGTTTGTTTAACCACAAAAAATAAAAAGAACAGGTTTGTGATCACTGCTAGATGTTAACTTTCTGATGAATCTTAGAAATGAAAGAAGTTTGCTTAATCACTTTAAATTAATGAGGTTTAAGATTTTATCAGGATATGAGTATTGGGTTTATTGTGAAGAAATGCTGTTATAACTGTACTGTACAACATGATTAAAGTTGCAAGTTTGCACACTGTCGAGTGTTATCATGTTTTTATAAAACTCCAGCATTTTTTGCAAAGCATCCATTAAGAATAAGTAATTTTAGGGCATATGTATATATTAGGATTTTTCACAGCTTGTACCTCATGGTATTCATATTCATATATTTGTTTTTATTATTTTTTATTAAGTCAGACTGCTATGTGGCCTGCAAAAATTGATTACCTTTTTTTGTACAGTACCCCAAAGTGGCATATCAACGCACAATACAATGATCACCCATAGTAAAGTGACCAACCTGACAATGATGTCAGGTTGTGTGGAGGTTTCTGGATGACACAAATGCAGAGAAGGAAGCTGAGGTGGTTTATTGCAGATTTAATAATCCAAGTAGTGGCAACATAAATAAATCCAAAAACAACAAAATACAGAAAATCCAAGAGACATCTGGGAAAACACACATTAGGAGCAAAGAAACAGTGTGCAACCAGCCATTAGAAACTGCACAAGAGGGGTATAAATGGGAGACTGAACAAAGACCAGGCTAATCAGCAGACGAGGAGCAGGTGTGGATGGAAGAATCTAGAAGAGACCGAGGGGACGGAGACTAACACAAGGGGACAACAGAGGGTAAACAAGAAATACATAAAAACTCAAATACAACCAGAAAAAAACAGGGAATGGGAATGAAACCAATGAAAACTCAAAAAGAAAACTTAAACAGAACCAAAACAATGACAAGCTATAGGGGAGTTACCAACTCCATTTTGGGTGTATAAAGTAGAAAATGTTTAGATAACTGCTGAGAACTAACAGACTAGCACACTATCCATGCCTTTACAAACATGCAAGTCCAGTATATCTACCTTTACTCATAATGGAGAAAAACATCATTGACAAAGGCTGTAGCACAAAAATTCTGCCAACAGTCTCATAAATAAAACTGCTTAAATTATGACCAGCAAAAATCTATGAAAAGAAAGAAAAAGGTTTAGCAAGCAAAAAAAATATTAGAAACTACATAACAACTCTATAGACACTTTTATTAATTTTTTCCTAATAATGAGTTTTCTTACTAATTCATGACTTGAATAACAAGAAGGACAGGTAAAAGGCCCAACTGCAGATTAATGTTTTTTGCATCACAACTGTATGAAACAATGCCATAAGATAGTGACAGAGAGGAGATTTATCTCTTATCAAAATAAATGACCTTTACTTGTATAGTGCTGTATGAAATCCGAGTGCCTGAAGCATGGGCTAAATGGTACCTACAGCAGGCTTGCAGTAGACAGACAGAAGTGAGGCTGCCATACAGTCAGTGAATAAAGATAAACTGAGCAGGGGCTCAAAACGGCCACCTGGTGGTTGCCAGACAAATGCCTGCATCCTGAGCCACTCAAACAATAGTTTAAAAAAATCTTATGTAGTATATATAATACTTTTTATCACTGATTTCTCTCTGAAAAAAGCAGCATCTTTATGTATATCAGTGCTGCTGCTTGTTAAATTGTTTCCCTTTTTTAAAGGACAAACTAATTTTCCTCTTAAGGATTCTCACTAAATCAAAAATAGACAAATTCAAGGTGGCATAACACCACTATTCTACTAACAATGAAGGAACGGTATATCCAGATTCAGGAAAGGCATTGTTGCAGGGAGTTGTTTTTTTTCCTCATAAATAGCATTGCTGGACAGACTATTGTTTTAGTCGATGCTACTTTGATTTCTGACAGCCCAAATATGTTGATTCGCTCACATTCTCTCTGTCATTGCATCTAAATATACTTTTTACAACCATGACCACAGACAATTTTGCATCCAAGTTTCAAATGTACCGAAAGAAGCTTAAGCGGAAGTTCAATCTGAAAAGACTATGATCACCTTCATCTGAACCACCTGCAATGTCCCTCATCCAGGGTTTAGCCAATCAACATCAGGGCCACACCTTCTCTTAAGCCAAACATCTTTCAACATCCCCTTCATTTAGCTCCAGCCCTAGCTTCCCTCCAGCACGCCAGCAAACTTTCACCCATCTCCACCCGATCTCCTCCCTCACTCTCAGATTATTCTCAGTCCCACTCAGCCTCTGGCTTATTCCACCACCAGTGTCAGGGCCCTAAAGTAAGACTAATCTAATCATATTCTAGGTTATTCATCCAAGGGAATGTCAATTCACACAAAGTCTTCTGCGGGGGCCCGAGCACCAAATAAATTATTTATTTCACATCAATGAAACTTGTATAGTTACAACTTTTCTCTATGTGAGTCTCTCCAAGTAGAAAAATAGATGTAGAAACTGCAGCCACAATCAAGTTCAAGTTTGATAAATTGCTTTACGATTTGTAAGTATTTATATTTGCTTATCCTCCCTCCAGTATTTTGCATGTTTTGTTGATCAGGATATTCCTGCATCTGCCCTTTTGCTTATGTTACCATATGCAGGCCAGGCTGCAGCTGATTAGTAGATCAGCTTTGCCCTGTTATTAAGATTGCACTTTTTTTTTTTACATGCAAACCTTTGTTAGATGTAATCTACCCTGGATGGAGACATGGGTGTAACGCAGCTACAATCTTCAATCCATTATCAAAAATAACTAACAGGCTTTTCCGACCGTCCTTAAAGGGCCCATGAGGGAATTTTTCTTCCCAAACCATTGAAATTCAATAATAATGTTGCACGCAGATACATTATGACTGTTATCAAGTTAGTCAATTCTTTTAATAAACTCAACTCTCTTTCATTTCTGTCCAGAACTTTTCATTGCTGTCCACATTTTTTAAAAGACATCTTTATTTTCACAATAAAAAGCGTGGAGTCATGGAGGAGACACTAAACCAGAGGCAGCAGGACAGGGTTTTCACAATTTTATAATTACTCATCGTTCACACTCAGAACATTGTTTTCTGTATTGTAATAGATAACGCAGTAAGAAGGCCATATGTTAGGGCAGTAACAGACAGCTTTCTTTATATTGATTCATTTTGCATATCTGTGCTATCGCCTTGAGCTAAAGTATTGATGTGTTAAATGCTGCGTCACCTTTTATGGTTGTGATATTATATGACTTTAATCTTGTTACCTTGTCATTCTATTTTAAGCACTAAGTAAGAATTTGCCCACATGAATTGTTTTTTCCTGAACATTTCATCTTCGGTGTTGAGTGTCATTAATGATCTGGCTAGTTTGAAGGTCAATATATAAACTTTGTCAGCTAAAATGTTAGATCACAATTATTGTGATTAGGTTAAGTTTGTTTTTTTCAGTACATGCTCTAAAAATGACTGCAGACCCAGGTGAGATGTGAAAGTTTTAAGACAGTGAATACAGATCAAAGATCGTAAATAAATCAAAACTGAATTTACCCTTGAGGGAACTTTGTGTGTGAATATTTAAAATTAAAAATGGATTAAAACTAAACCAGTAAAAGTGGGCCTCAAGTCATCTATGTTATGTTTTTGTTTTTTTGAGGTTTTTGTACATGCATAGTTAGAACTGAAGTGGGTCCCCTGCTGCGGTACTCTAGAAAAAAGTAACGCAACCATTTTTGTTGTCTGCTTAATTATATTTAGTTACCTTAATAGAATTGTTCCATGTCCTACCCTGCTAACATGAAACAATTCTGTTACAGTAACTAAATATGATTAAGTAGATGCCAAAAGCGGTTGTATTATTTTCTTTAAATCACTTAATAAATAATGAAACCTTATCTACAAGAGTAAGGCCTCTGTACATGGGCCGTGGCCGTCCTCTATGTCTTATTGACATAGAGGACGGACTTGAGAAACTTGAGAAACTTTATACCATCATTAAAAACAACGTAAACCAGACAACAGTTGCACCTTTTGCAATAATTATTTAGGACTTTAATGAAATTGATCCCACAAGGAGATTTTTGTGTTGCATAAGTGAGCAATAAAAAATATCTGTACTCATCTGTTTAGCTTATACTTAAGGAGAGGATATCATATGGCTAATGATTTAATGTCAGTGATACTTTTATGGTTGACCATCTACTTTGAGATATGAAAGACAGGCTCGTCAAATAAAATTGCTTTATATACGAAACTCAATTTTCTCTACAATATTTATGCCAACTTTGATCATCCTAGCTTCTCAGACTTTACCCAACAGACAATGGGTACAAAGTGCATATAGTGTTAAATTAAACAGATATTTTAACTCTATATGGAAACTTTAACAATAGCTTATTAATGCTGATAATACAGTACACCTGTCATGCCTCGTATCTCATGCCAGCTCTACTGTGGTTCCCCCCAATCAGAAAAACAAATGTATGATGTATTATCTGCTGTTAAACAGTTACAATCTTCTACTTATTTAATGAATCTCTGTGCAGAGGAACAGAGACAAAAAACATTATATTCTGTAATCACTATTCAAATTTTAAAATTATCTGATTCTGTAAAAAACAGTGCAGATAAAGATCCCCCAAATTGTTCTATTGCGAAAATTTATATAAAAGAAATTGAAGTAACAGTACTGTTTAGTTTTTATCTAGCATTGCAGAGACTGGCACCAAATAGCACAAATATTGCAAAAACCCAAGTAAATATGCTTTTATCATAACAGAAGAATGTTAAATTTACACCATATCTACTGGATTATGAGTCGTGACTTTTCAAGATTATTTCTTACAGGTTTATCAGTCTCTCAAAAGATCTAGATCTCAACTTGTAATATTATTGAAAAGGTAACTATGAGGAGTAAAGTCACTATTTATACATATGTATTTTTAGATTTGATATGATCCCATTTTCTTCATTCAAATACAGTCTTTGCACAACGTGAGGCATTGCACAAGGCAACAGCTTTGTCCACTTTATAATGATTTTTTAAATATCCCTCTAATGATAAACTCAGCACATAAAAACACTTTTGCTGAGTTGTGCAGACTGCACGGTTCAGCCCCATGCAGGTGCATTAATTGCACCATTATAACCTGGTTAATGTGCAACCAAGTTAAGATGAGGACTTTTGGCTTCCGCTTACGTTGCTGGAACTGCACTGGTGGATTAGGCATTACAGCCTTACAGGGCTTATTGTTGAAGCCTGCAGCATTCCTGCTGTTGGTGTTTCCTTCTAACCTTCAACTTTTCCCCTTAGATATGAAAGGACCAAAGTTCGTTATGTGCAAAAGTTGTTAGATTTTGAATGGAGTCCAGGAGTAAATTAAGAGCATAAGTACCATCATTACAGGTATGTAAAACTTTGCTGAGATCAAGTTGATAAATGGATTACTTATGTAACACTGGTTGTTTTAGATTTGATGATAAAAGTGTATTATAAATGCTATTATATATATAAGTGAAAGCTAAATGTAATAGATATATATAATATAAAACATTAAGGTTTCTGATCCAAAAATGATCTTTAACTGCTTTATAAAAGTAAAAGCACCTGAAAGTTTATTTAAATACTTTAAGAAAAACAAAGCTGAACCATGAAGGGAATTAACGAGCTTTTTTACGTCTTTAAGCTGCCTTAATGAAGTACAAGGAGTGCTGTAATCTAACATGAGGAATTTCTTAAAGTTCCAACTGAAATTCAGGTCGTAAACCTTTTTTTTTTAACACTGCATCTAAGACATTGTTTGGCAATGGTTCAGAATCCTGCAAAGTTTTCTTCTGTTATCTCAGAAATTGTGCAAATACTTTTGAATGCAGTTTAAAGATAAGCCTCATGCTTGCAGATGAATATAAACACCAATTTGCATGACTTCCCCAACTGTAACACAGTGGTAGTTTCTGCACCACTGGCATCCAGGGCATCCAAGTTTAAATAGAAGTTACCAAAGAAATATTATTTATTCTAACTTGCTCTAAGTCTGCAACACAAAATCAGACTAAACCTTTTTTCTGTTTTTTCCAAGTTTGAATTACAATTTATGGTCAAATTTGCTAAGAGACAGAATAAAGAAAAAGTTTAGTATCTAAAATTTACAAATGTAATTGATGCTTGATAGATTATGTTTTAATTTAATGACTTGAATTTGCCTTGACAAACTTCTGACAGCAGTTTTTCGAAGTTTTGCCCCATTTATTCTGACTGAACTACCCAGGTTTGGTGACCATTTTCCACACTTTTTCAGCTCCACCAAGGTTCACTTTGCTAATAAAGTTGTTAGAAAATGATCTCCTCCCTTCTGCAAGGCCGATCAACTCAGAGTACTTATTACTCTGTTGATAACGACTCTTTTTAACCACCCTTACCCACAATGACAACATAGAACAGAATTAAATAAAAGTAATAATATTATCCCACTCTGGGAAAAACTGGCTCGGACTAATTAATTCAAATGTGTGTTTTAATTAACCTCTGTTTAGTGTAGAATTAAAATATTTGGGCTTGAGAACCCAGAGTATATTAAGTTCCTGAAAATTACAGAAAAGATATCTTTTAGTAAAATCCTAAATAGAGAATCATTATGGAACAGCATTCTAACTGCTTACAGAGCGTATAGTGTGGACAAAAAGGCATTTAAAGCACCAGATAATATTGCCCCCTGGGTTGCCATGTAAAAATATGAAAAAAATAATGTGTCTGCAGATGGAACACAAAAGCAAGGTATTATGAAATCCTGAAAATAACAATAAGTTATTATTTCTCAAGTGATTCTGAGAACCTCTAATTCCTTTATAATACAACTATTAACTCCTTGAGTGCTTTTTCTCTTGTTGAACACTTGTTCAACAAATAAGCTACAAGGCCTCTGTAATTTCCACCATGGAGTTGAGGGCTGCTACCTATAATACCTTCTAAAAGGACTTAATCCTTCTCAGTTGAGAAATTGTTTTCTAAACTTTCTCCCATTCAGGAAAATCTAAATCTAAAGCCAAACATCTGTCCAGAATCCCCTCCTCCTCATCATCCTCTTGTGTGTGGGAGGTGCTGAGTGCAGGTGCATTTAACGCTATCACAGAGTAAATATCGCGACAGGAAATTGCAGGTGTGGTTAAACCTGGGTGTGGGCACAAATATATCAAACCCTCTGTGCTTCACACACACACCGATGAGAGGAAAGCTCAGCCGTAGATTATTCACTTAACTAAATTAACAACTCTCTCTTCACTAGGAGACATCAAGGTAATCACCACATCTTCCAGAACATAAGGTAAGAATCATTCTAATATATTTCAAGGTTTCTCCTTTTTTAAATATTTATGTATTTATTTCTTTTTGCTCAACCACTGCAGTTTGAAAGAAATAGAATTAAAAGGAAATAGAGGGATTTGTTCTGGGTAATTTTTGTCATTATATCCAACATGTGGAAAGGAACATTTGGATGGGTTGAGCGCGTTGATTTGCCAAAGCGTATTGTGCTTTCTTTGTAAAGTGCGGCTGTTAATTGAGTGGAAACCAGTCTTACCTGTCCCACACTCTATCCGTAATGGATGCAGAGCTGCTCTCCATTTTCAGTCCGTTATTTGCTTTTTCTTCCATGATGCCCGAGCAAACTGGATCTTCATAGCAGGGATTAGCCTTAAAGCAAGTCTTCAACAATAACCAATTAAATCCATTTGGTGCAATAAAAGAGAAGAGAGCTTGTTGTTTACTTCTCTGTGAAAGCGGTTAAGTTAAATCATTTGTAAACCAAAGGGGGATTTGCTTTGCTGCACTGTTTAGATTAGTAGTAAAACTCTAGAGCAAAATGCAATGATAGATCATTTTAATTTAACTCAATAAATGAGAATTAATGTGAAATTCTGTTCAAATTTGATATTCATTTAGGTTTTTTTCTCTACATCATTTGACCAGTTTTTAAGTTGTTGGGACACAAACAGCACTCCAAAAAATCTTTAAACCGTCTTATCCAGCTCAGATATTATTTTATATTTTGGGCATCTACAAAATGTTAATTAGTTATTGGCTGATTCATTTCAGGTCAGTTTATTTAAATAGTCCTAAACAGCAGCAAATGTCTTGCCAAGGATAATTACAAATCAAACAGGTTCAACAGGTTTGGAAATCAGATTGATCCAACATAATCTTAACAAATATTGAAAGACATATTCAATTACATGCAATCAATTTAGTTCTAATACAACCACATAAAATTAGTTAGTGATGCCATTTAGTAAAATACAAGATTAATACATATAAGGAAGCCCATTTGACTGCATTGTTATTGACTCTGCTTCAACGGATTTTTCTTAACAAGCATGTGGTGATAATGGAAATAAAATATCTGCCCTTTAAGCTTTAGGAGCAAACAAGCCAATTAAAACTGGCTTTTTTTAAAGCTTGAATAAATTTAGCTGAAGACAACATAAAATGAAGCTTAAAGACAAAAGCAATTTTTCAGTGAGTTTCTCACTAACCTCTGCCCACTTTCACAACACATCTAGTTATAGGCCTGCATCCTTCACAGTAACTCTTTAAAGTCCATAAAGACAACAAACCCATGGTTCAAGTTAACACGAGGACAATAAATCTATTGGTTTATGGTTAACATCATGGTCATATTTTTATATGATATCAGGTACTTTTTTTGAACTATGCCTTCTATACCTGTTACTATCATCTCCATTTTTGGAGAAGGATCCAATACAGTGTTATAAACTACTGATAAATGTTCACGTGTTTGCTAAAAAAACCAACCCTGTGAGATCAGCACACCATTTGAACCTGGTGTGAAGGTACAGCACCACAAATTACAGAATCCCATGTAACTTCCAGGCACCTTCCACAGTCTTTATAAAACAATAAAAGCAAAAGCAATGAGTGATGTTAAAATGACAGATTCTTATGTTTTATTCTATCCTGAGCTAAGCCTGAGCAGAGTTACTTCTTTATCAGGTCAGTGAACCCCAGAGCCTTGATAATATTAATGCTATGTGCCATTAGGAATCTACTATCCTCTTTTTACTAGTTTTCCATGCAGTTGTTAATAACTGAAAAAAGAAGGGAATTATCCATTGCATATTTTCCCCATATTTTACGAGTAAAAACCTGAAAAGAATGGCATATCAAATGGTAGAAACAATGTTCTCTTCAAGTACAGCTTCAGGTATTTAGGAGCACATCTCAACCAGCTGGGCACAGACTAATGGTGCTACTTCTTCAAATTCTGTGGATTTAGAACAGACAGGAACTGGAAGACCTGAGTGGTCTGGAAGGGTGCTAAAACCACAGCAAATCTTTGTTACATTTTAATGCAAGGCACTTATGGGATTTATAAACTAGGAACCATGTTTAAAAGTATTTTCTTTGAGATATAAGGAGCTGAACTTCAGAACTAGATTTTCTTTTCTGCAAAAAAAAAGAAGCTTCCAGTCTGATTTATGCTTCCACCATATCTGGTGTGTACCTAGGTTTACATCATGCTGTTTGTTCACAAATATTCTCCTAACAAAGCTCCTTGCTAGCACAGCTGTATTTATTTTTAGATTGAATTACACAGAGGTGGAATCATATTCAATTAAATGACATCTGCAAGCATTTGGCTTTATTAAACTTAATACAGGCCTAATTATTAAGATTATTACATGTAAAAAATAAAAATAAAAAAAATGCACTGAAGATTAGATCAGGCCAAATCTGAAAATGCATCCAAAGACTAAATCAACCCAAAACATTTTGTTAAGTATAAGACACTCAGGTCATCCAATGAGTAAGTCATCCTACTGAGTCATTCAGGGTGACAGGTGTACTGTGTCCTTGGTGTTTGCTTATCGTCACTGTAGTTTCTGATATCTCAGTAAAGAGGCAGATAAAGCACAGCTGATTGCAGGACTTGCACGCTGCTTTGACTCCAGACTGGCGCTTCTTAGTGGCTCTACATCTGCTTTACTGATAATTATGCAATCATTAAAAAACAAAAAAGAAAACAGGAAATATTGGAAATCAGGCTTTCATACAATAACCACCAATAGTTTGGATTTTAAGTATTTCAATCAGTTTTTACCCAATCACTTTTTTTTAACCTTGGTAGGTTTCAGTATATGACATTTTTATAGCTTAGCTTTATTTCTTAGCTTTTATCTTTATCTTTATCCCATTCCCACTGATTTTAGCCAGCAGGTTTTACTTCAATTTAATCATTCTTCTAAAACATTTACAATTTAATTTTCAAAAATCAGAACTCCTTTTCTGTTATCAATATGTCCATTCAAAAGCCCTATTTAATAGATGTATTAAATGAATAAGAAAATAATAGGGCAGCACCTGAGTGCATGCAGACATCTAGACTTAGTAAAGAGGACCCTCTGACATTAAGATTTAGCACCGAAAAAAGAGATTTTTTTACAGCGGCATAGTTGATGCTGATGTCTTCAGATTGTCCATTTCTGAGGTTGACAGAGCATGAACTGCAAAAGAAAGCAACAGCCAAGGTATTTAGAAATAAGATCGCTGAAAGCAAAACATATTGACTTGGCTACAGGAAGTAAAAGATCACACTGGGTGCACCTCTCAAGGACAGGAACCTGAGGTTCCAATTCCAAGGTTTCCCAAAACTAGACAGTAACTTCTTGCAAGAATGTTGAAAGATGAGTCTTAACTTCAGCTGCAACATTCAGGTGATATTGGAAAATGATTAATTTAATGTGAAAAAGAAAAAACCTTTCATCAAAGGTTGTTTTCTGTGGTGCGGAGATATGAAGATATTGCTGGTTGGCTCACTTTTTATCCCTATGTGTAAACTGAACTGCGTTTTTGACTACAGTATAACCATCTTCAGAACGCTACTTTCAGCAGGATAACACGCCGTGCATTAAAGCCCATATAATCGCTTGTTAGTTAAACATCACAATGAGATCTCTGGACCCCAAGCTTCTCTACAGTCATAGATCTCATCCCAACACCTTTTGGATGCGGTGGGATGAGAGACTTGCCCCCTGGAAGTACTATCAAGATGACGCTGACTAAGAAACTTGTCAAAAACAAACCCAGCTCTGAAGTATTTTTACTTTATTAATATTTTAAAGTTGCTTTACTTATTATCAGGTTGAGTGGAGGTTTTAGAGAACCCAATGAAGAGATGAGGGGGGCAGAGTTGAGTTCTTGTAGTTTTAATGTCCAAAAGAAGCAATTGAAGCAAAAGTCCAAAATAACAAATACAGAAAACCAAAATCTAGAAGACATCCATGAAAACACACATGAGGAGCCAGCAAAAAATGACTGAACATGAGGTGTACAAATGGGAGCCTGAGCAAACACCAGGCTAATCAGCAGATTGGGAGCAGGTGTGGACAGAGGAGTCTAGAAGGGAGGTAGAGAAAAATGGGACTGACAGAAGAGGGCAACAAAGGCTATGTTCACACTGCATCCTGAAGTGATCCAAATCTGATTTTTTTTGCCCACATGCGACCTGTATCTGATCTTTCCATGGCTGTCTGAACAACACAGATCCGATTTTTTTCTATTGTGACCCAGGCCAGTTGGCTATGTGGTCCTGGATCCGATACGAATCTGATCTTTTCAAAAGCAACCTGTGTCTGAACGGCCAGGTCTGTTTGGGGTGGACCCCGCCTCTCACCTATAGACAGCTGGAGATAGGCACCAGCACCCCTTGCGACCCTGCTTGGGATAAGCGTGACAGAAAATAGATGGATGGATGGATGGATGGATGGATGGATGGATGGATGGATGGATGGATGGATGGATGGATGGATGGATGTCATCTTATAACAGGTTAACTGATTGTGCTTGCAGGCAGTTGCTAAAAAGTTAGTTAGAATACAATAAAAAAGTTCTAATGTTTCTATGAAGCAAAACAAGAACCAGACATTGTAACATATTCCAGTGTGGATCCTTCCTCCTGTTTAAAAGAAGCTGTTACTATTGTCACCGAAAAGGCTGTTTTTGGAATGAAATTAAAGATGTGCAGCTGGCACCACTGATGTGTGTATTATGTTCAGCAGTCGATCTAGGCTCAATGTGACCTTGGACTGACCAGCATTTGCATTTTTGATGGTGTCAAGAGAAAAGAGTTAGATCTTACACTAAACATTCAAAAATGTGGAGAGAGACATTAACCTCAGTCCTGATAGCAGAGCCTAGGAGACACAACAGGTTCTCAGCTTTCCAACGACACTGATTCATTTGTTGATTCACAAACACTGACCTTAGCTGCTATAAAAGTAGCCCTGGGCTCTTTAGTTTCCCCTTGGTTGAGTCATCAATGTCCCTCTTTAATAATTTTGGAAAGCAGACCACGTTCTCTCAGGATGTAGACAGTGGGTCTGACGGGTTCAGAATACCGACTCCGGAATTACAGATATTGATGATTCAGTTTCCTTTTGTTTCTTGAATTTCTTCTGATCAGGAATGTTTTAAGAATCTTTCATGAATCGACTTCTTCAAAGTACCAAGAAATCACTGAAATTCTGAGGACATAAAAAAAAAAAAAAACTAAATTCAAAGCAGTGTAAATGGAATCATGATATTTTTCCAAATTGAACATTTTCTTTGTCATTTTTATCTTAGGTTAAATTTGAACAGAAAGTAGATTGTTTGTACTATATAGGTATATAATATAGAAAAGTGTGGCTTTAATTAATCACTCTTCCTCCTTCTGCTTGTTTTAGTTCACTGCAAAAATGAACAGCAAAGCCAGAGATGCTTTTGCAAACATCACTCGGAAGCCAGGCCTGCAGATATGGACCATCAATGTAAGGCAGCTCTGAATAAAAGATTAAACACTGTATATGTTCTTCATTTTAGCTCCAGTCCTGCAGCTTAAAGTGATGTGTTTTCTTTATGTAGAAAATGCGGATGGCTACAGTTCCAACCAAGGCTTTTGGTAAGTTCTTTGAGGGTGACTGTTACATCATTCTGAATGTGAGTATGGCACAGGGTGGTTTAATTTAATGAGACTCAGCACTGATAAGGTTATGTGGACAAATGTGAATCATTTACATGTATGTCTTTATCGATTCCCAACTATAAACCAGATAAAAAAGAATAAAGGTGTGGGAGAATCGATCGACATCCACTATTGGATAGGAAAGTCCTCCTCCCTGGATGAGCAGGGATCTGCAGCCCTCTATGTCACCCAGCTGGATGAGTATCTGGGTGGGAGTGCAGTGCAGTACAGGGAGGTGCAGGGCTTTGAATCAGCAAAGTTCAGGAGCTACTTTAAAAATGGCCTGATGTAAGTTATAAAGCACATTCACCTGAATGTTTTAGAGGACATTAACTACACACATATACTACAGTCTCCCTAAAACATAGTTTAAATAATTAGTCCCTCTTATTTGAATTATTATCTCACATAGAAATTTTTACTGTTTGAATATTATTGGGGGAAAAAACTCAGCTTATTCTCTTTCCCTATATTTTTTTTTATCTTTTATTGTGCATAAAAATCAAGCAAAGTTTCCTTCCTCTTTAAAGTTTACACAGCTCAGTCATTCTTTGTAACAATTGAACTTTGGTCAATGATCTCTCTGCAGCTACAAGAAGGGTGGAGTGTCCTCAGGTTTCAACCATGTAGAGACGAACATCTACAACATAAAGAGGCTGCTGCACGTCAAGGGGAGGAAGCACGTCTCAGCAACAGAGGTTTGCAGAGAAGAATAGTTCTGGATATGGAAGGCGTTACTACCATACGTCTGTGTTCTACCTCCCACTGCTGCTATCAAAGGCCTAACACAATCGCACCACAGAGGTGTTGGTGTATCTGTTAAACATATTATACCAGAACTGTTGCCATAACTGTGACAGTAGGTGTAAACAACCTGGAAAAAAAAAACTGTGATTGTGCGATATTTTATGATAACAACCGCACAGATATGTGGAATTCCAGTTAAACGTTTTGCAAATCCTAACCGTGTCTTTGTTTGCAGGTTGAGCTGTCCTGGAAAAGCTTTAACAATGGAGATGTGTTTATTCTGGATCTTGGGAAAAACATTGTGCAATGGAATGGCCCTGAGTGCAACAGGAGAGAAAAGTTGAAGGTATGTGGTGAAGAGCATTTAAAGCAGCAAAAGAAGAAAATGAAAAAATTCAAAACTGATCATTTTCTGTGGCATGAGGCACTAATAATAAAAAGCTGAATTAGCACTGGCATTAAGTGTGAAGTCAAGGCCCTCTGCTATTAGCAGAAATGCTTATTGCCGAAAGGAACCTTTTCCTTAGTTTCACTAACGTTTGATGTGACGAAAGACTGAAACAAAAAATAAAAACAACGCTATAGTTTATTGTTAAATGATCCGCAAAGCTAAAGAGCCATGTTCTGTAGCTGCTGGTTTTTGACCCCTAAAAATGGTTAGCCTATCTCAGGATGGATGAAGCTAAAAGTACAAGACAATGTTAAAATCATTAGGATATTTGTATTCTGTTCTATTCTATTCTTTGATTTTTCCCCAATCTATTTGCAGGCGGTCCAGCTGGCTCAAGACATCCGAGATAGAGAGCGTGGAGGTCGTGCAGATATTGTCATTGTGGAGGGAGCACGTGAGAAGGAAACACCTGAAGCAGTTCAAATGATGGCTGATGTGCTCGGCCAAAAACCCGCCCAGCTGAGGAAGGCTATTCCTGACAACAAAGATGAACAAGAACAGAACAATAACGTCAGGCTCTACCAGTAAGACACTGTCAATGGGATTTTGCTGCACTGCTTTTTTGTTATTTTGAAATTAATTTACAAAAATTCAATTCAATAATCCTATACACATCTGTTGGTCCACAGTGTTTGTGACAACAGTGGAGATGTTGTGATCCAAGAAGTGGCTTTGCAGCCTCTGACACAAGATCTGCTGCGTTCCTCTGTAACTATCTTTAATCTTCCATTATTTTTATTCTGAAAATGTTTGCTATTAACAACATGTCATTGTTTCTTTGTCACTGCTGTCAGGATTGTTATATTTTGGACAACAGAGGCTCCAATGTGATGGTCTGGAAGGGGAAAAAGGCCTCAAAGGAAGAGCGTCGAGAGGCAATGAAGAGAGCACTGGTGATTATGCAAACACATTAATTTCACTCAATCTGAATGATATCTCTGTCTGCAGATCATTTTACTTTTTATTTCTTTTAGAGCTGTGTAATGAACCCTTTTGTATCTCCTTCTCACTAGGAATACATTAAAACAAAAAACTACCCATCAAGCACCACTGTGGAGGTGATGAGTGAGGGAGGAGAGTCAGCAATGTTTAAGCACCTTTTCAAAAACTGGAAGGAAAAAGGGCAAATCACTGGTCTGGGTAAAACCTACAGCGTTGGAAAGATAGGTAATATTAACAAAAGAAAATTCAAGATTCACTTCAAAATTATCCAACACAAAACCATAAAAAGATGTGTGCTCTTATAAACACATCTTATAAAATAGAGGGGGGGGGGGGGGGATAATAAAATGTATTCTAAAAGTGTGCTAGAGAAGTGAGACTTGTAATGATTCAGAACTGTGGACCCAGTGTTCAAGCAAAACAGACAGTGGGATTACTCAAAAACCATTTAATACAGATCTGCAGTAGCAGCAGCTAGGGCGTCTGAAGCAGGAAACTGTGGAGAGATAAAAACACAGGTTTGTGACCACGATAATCTGACGGAGGAAGATTATGAACGTGAGTCACTAACCTGGTTTAAATGTTCAGTCCATCGCCAGAGAATGAGGTTGGATCCAGCCGGTGGGCTGCCAACATGATGCCCAGAGTATCCCAGATGTTGTAGCCCTGGAGAACATGCAGGAGTCTGAAGACAGGTCAGGCAATCAGATCAGAACAGGCAGGCTCAGAGGTCAAGGAGTCCAAAGCCAGGTCAGGCAAACAGATCAGAATAGGATCGGGCAGGCTCAGATGTTGAGAGGCAGAACTGGTCAGGATCAGGAAATCAGAAACACCAAGGAACTGTAAAAACACTCTTGCTACTGGCTAGAGAGAACAAGAATAATCTGGCCATGATGACTGGATGCAACATTTTAAATAGAGGCAGGAGCAGGTGGATCAGATAAGAGGTAATGAGAAACCGGGCAGTTTGACAGGTGAATCGAGTTAGTAATTATGCCAGTCATAAGTGCCAATATAATGACAGGACTGGTTTGGTAAAATAATATCTGCGACTATTCTGCCAGCTGTAAATGCTCAATTCGGTTGATGTTCCTTCAAATCTTGACAAATGTTTCTGGTTATCATGCAGCCAAGGTTGAGCAAGTGAAGTTTAATGTGATGGAACTCCATGCTTACCCTGACATGGCAGCAAAGCAGCACTTGGTTGATGACGGTTCAGGAGAAGTAAAGGTAGGCAGTAGACAATTTAACACAAAAACCAAAACTACACCTTTATCTTTTATAGTGCGATTGCTCTAAAGAAGAAGTTGGAGACTCAGAAATGTTTACTTCTTTCTCTCTTTCAGGTTTGGCGCATTGAGAGTTTGGAGCTGGCTGAGGTGCCGCCAAATATGCATGGGCAGTTTTATGGAGGAGACTGCTACTTGGTGCTGTACACATACCGCATGTCAAACAGGGACCAGTACATACTCTACATGTGGCAGGTTAGCTTCACCAGAAAACATTTAGTTTTCGTGCCCCAAACAACACAGCAAACCTCTTCCTGATATCTTTTCTTCTATCTTTAACATTAGGGACGTCATGCCACCAGAGATGAAATTACAGCTTGTGCCTACCAGGCTGTCACTGTTGACAATATGTACAACGGAGCACCTGTCCAGGTCCGAGTGGTGATGGGAAAGGAGCCTCGCCACTTCCTGGCAATTTTCAAAGGAAAACTAATCATTTTTGAGGTCTGATTTTTAATACAGAGCAATTCATTTTTCAAAAATGAGAACACTAACCTTTTTATGGCTTTCAATAAGCAAATCCCTTGAACTTCACTACATTTTATCAAGTTCAGCTGAATTTACTCTGATATACATAAGCAACATCTAGGGCGACCACCTTCTCTTAGCCACCACCTAAGTAGTGGATTAAAACAACAGAGTCCAATTGTGTTCTTTCTTTCTTTTGTTAAACCTTCATCTGATAGTGAAAGTCACAATTGAGAAGAATAATCTCTTTTCAAGGAAGACCCTGCAAAAAAGAAAGAAAAAAGGTGCAAGACATTAAATTAATTTAGTGAATACAAGCTTTCAAGCTGCAATACATTTTGTACAGAGTCTCATGTTGTGTGGGATCAGTACGCAAACGCCAACATTAAAATTAAAATTTGCATCTCTGCATTTAAGGAGCTGCAGCTCCAGTAAGAAAATCTGTTGATGGGACAGCTATTTGTTGTAAATTGTCCAAACTGGGTCGAAATGAAAATGGCAAGAGAGCAACTACTGAAAAACTGGCAAACTAGGTTTACCACAATTTCTATCTGGAACACAAGTTTAGAGCGCCAGAAGGTTGTCTGATTGGATTAGACCATAATTTCTGGAGTGAAAAAAAAAACGAAATCTACTCTAAACATACCAGCCCAAAACATAAAGGTGGTCAGCATCATACTTTAGATACTCTATACTTCAGCAGAGGGAGCTGGTCAGTTTTTATGGAGGGATGGATTAAGATAAAAAAAAGGAAATACTCGAAGAAAACCAGTTTGGGTCTTGAAACAACTTTAGAAATTAGGAAAAGTATACATTTTAGCCTTTAGATATATAAACGTAAATATTTACATGTAAAGATTTAAAAATGTTTAACAGTTTAAGGGATTTGGAAGCTTCTGCAAAGTGCTGGATGAAATGTTTGTGTCCTTTAGTCTCAACCTATGATGCATAAAAACGTTGCTGTATGGGTACAGTGATAGAAATGTTTTTTTTTCTACAGGGAGGAACAGGCCGAGCGGGTGCAGTGATCCCCAAAACCACCTCCAACCTCTTCCAGGTGAGAGGAACCTCTGAGCTGAACACAAAGGCCATCGAAGTCCCAGCAAGGGCCTCATGCCTAAACAGCAACGACGTGTTTTTGCTGAAGACCAGCCAGAAATGCTACCTGTGGTACGGAAAGGTATGCATCACACTTTGAGACTGCATAGCCAGCTAAATATTTATATGTTGTCCAAAAATGTGTCATGACTCATATATGTGTAAATTGTTTATATCTTCAGGGTTGCAGCGGGGATGAGAGGATGATGGCGACTGAAATGTCCGACCGCCTGTTTAGGCAATACAAAGAGGTGGTGATGGAAGGCCAGGAGCCAAATGAGTTCTGGGCCGCTTTGGGAGGAAAGGCACCCTACGCCAGCGACAAGAGGTCAATCCAAGACATTCTGTTTTTTTTCCTTCACGAAACAATAAACAAATGATTTTATTTAGCTTAAATAGAATTAAATCCACTTTTAAAAAATTTGGTTTTACATCAAATGTATTGTGTCAGTAAGTCCAATGCCATTTAAGTCTACAGTATCCAGCAGTCTGGCTCCTGCCAGGTTAAATATATAGACATGAGGAATTGTACATGGCGCTGTGTGGAGCTGTTATAGTAAAAAAAATTTTTTCATGTTTAGACTGGAGAGAGAGGATCCGATTCACGCACCCCGTCTTTTTGAGTGCTCAAATCAAACTGGTCGCTTCAGGTTAACCGAGGTTTATGACTTTGAGCAGAGCGACCTGGACGAAGAGGACGTGATGCTGCTGGACACCTGGGAGGAGGTGAGCGGGTGGAACGTCAGCAGAGACATGGCTTCCAAAGGGCTGTTTTATATCCCCGTCTAATGGCCTCTTTTCATTTGTCTTTTGCATCTCTTCAGATTTTCTTGTGGGTTGGACAGTTTGCCAATGAAACTGAGACCAAAGAGGCTTGGAACAGCGCACACGAGTACCTGAAGACCCACCCAGCTGGTCGTGACCCAGACACCCCCATCATGTTTGTGAAACAGGGATATGAGCCACTCACCTTTACTGGCTGGTTTAGCGCATGGGATCCTTTCAAGTGGAATGTAGGTTTAATTTGAGGTCCCTCATCTCCAGAATACATTTAAACTTAATTTAATTCTTTTACTAATGATGCATTTCAGTTGCTCTTTTTATTGCATTAATTGATCTTTATGAAGACATTGTTTTGAATTTATTGTGGACTTTTAATTTTTCATGCAGGTTCTTAGTAAAATTATATAAGCTCAAAAATATAAAGACATTTCCACCAATATACAAATTGCTGCTATCCCTTAGGAAGTTGAATATTTATCAAACCACTTTTTTTCAATGTTTGAAAGCATCTGACATTTCTGGATATTTGGCCACAAAATAAAGCAGCTCATTGAAATAGATTACATTCATTCAACAAACCCAGTTTTTAAACATAGACCAGCAATTGTCATTAGTCTTTAATTTGCGCTTTTGGTATACATTTAAAGAAAGGTAATGTAAGCTTTCCAAAACCAGGAATGATTAGTTTTTTAAATAATTTTCTTTTCAAAATCCTCAACTCTGTCCACATGCCAGGCATCCTCAGATGGTAGAATATTAGTTATAATGTTTAGAAAATAAAGCCTACCTTACTGGGGAAGCTGTTTGGCCACCAGTGTCGTCGTCCAATGTGATTCCAATTGGATATCCGAAATAGCTCCTCCTTGAAGGCTTTAAGCCTGTTTAAAATCGTCCACATGGGTGAGCAAAAAGCACCAGGAAATAAAACTTATGATCATGTAAGGTTGTTATCTTGCCCCCATAAGAAGAGGTCTTTAAGGCAAATACAGATATACACAGATCAAAACTGGTCTTAGAAAAGATATAGAATGGGCAGTACTAATTTCCATAAAAACAATAAAAAAAATCTTAAAACCTGGATATGTTCTAGATAGCTGACCCATTGATCCCACTGAACTGTGCCATTTCTAATAAGAGCAACAGACAAACATTGACCCAGAATCACACCTGGAACTTATTAAAGGCTGGAAAAATAGTGTGGCACCTCTGCATCATTCTGATGGCACAGTTACCCAAATATATTTTAGAGTATTAACAGAGGAGGAAATAGACTTTTAATATTGATTTAGAAACTTTTATTCAGAATAAGGGTTTCTTAATTATATATTGTAGAACATATTGGAGAAACAACCAATTGTTGTTAAAGTTCATACATTTATGTCCACAGTAAGTATATGTCAACTTTTAATCATCACTGATGTCTGCACAGAATAATAATGGTAAGCAAATGTACCATGATTTGATTAATCATTGCTACTGCTTGATCAAAATCATCCAGGTTTTAAATGAATGGGACAGTAATCTTGTGTGAGCGAATCATTCTGGAAATCAGACAGATTACCCAGAAGTTCTGCATTGATTAAAGATGAGTGGGTTCTGCATGCTAACTTATTCCGTAGTATGAGCTGATCTACTCAACAGGAGGCCAAGTCATACGAGGATATTAAAAAACAGCTGAATGATGCAGCATCTTTCTCTGAGATCACTGTAGTAAGTGATTGACTGATCAAAATCCTGATTCTAATCAACTGTTTTTAATAATATTGCTGATCCAGCATCAGATTATAATGTCTCTCATTTGGAAGTTGGATGTTTTTTTTATGTTTGAAGGAGATAAGTGCTGGCAACTTGATGAAAGGTCTGGATGTGACAGACAATGGGGGCTACAGTGCTCCTGGAGGGCCTACAAGTCCATTTCCAATGTACAGGACCCATGGTGGGGTTGTGTCGCCCACATCGCCCAAGTCCCCCTTTCCCACCAGCCATTTAAAAGTCTCCTACTCCTCAGCTGGTGGCAGTGGCATAATTGTGGACCCTAAGCACCTCATCAACGTACCTGTCGATAATCTTCCTGAGGGAGTGGACCCCAGCCACCGAGAGGTGGGTATGACTTTAGCGAAAGGAGCAAGAAATCTTTTATATAATAATTTTTTATTCTTGGGTAAAGGTTTGAGTATAAATGGATTCCTTAGACAGCTGAAATATCTCATTTAACGTTCATTTAATGGGGAGCTAAATCTCAGAATATGAATCCTATATATATATATATATATATATATATATATATATATATATATATATATATATATATATATATATATATATATACACCAACTTTACCTGAATGGTGACCATAGAACTGGTGCATATGTTTAAGTTCTCATCTAAATAGATTTACTTATCTGAGCCTCAAGGCGGTTTTGTTTTGGTGTTAAGTATGTCAAGTCACAGCACAGTAAACCCAGTATTCAAGACAAGGCAACAGACAGTGGGATTACTCAAAAAGCATTTATCAAAACAACAAATCTGCAGTACCAGTAGCTAGGGCGCCTAAGGCAGCCACCTGAGCAGAAGAGAAACACAGGTTAGTAACCACGATATTCTGACGGAGGATGATTATGAATGGGTGAGTCACTATCCTGGTTTTAGTGTTCAGTCTCCCCTAAACGTGGTAAAGTCCAGCCAGTCAGCTGATAAGAGGTACGGCTACTTCACAGAGAGTTCCATATGCTGAAACCTTGAAGACTGCAGAACAAGCAGGAGATCAGATCCAAGCAGATTAAGGAAGTAAGGATAATCCACAGTGCAAAATAAAATAGTCAGATCCAGGTTCAGTCCATAGGCAGATTCCAACAGGAGTCAGACAGCTTCTTTGTTTCTGCTTGATAAATAAATAAATAAACACCTCCTTCAGGCCTTTATTTTTTCAGATAGAGATAATTACTTTGTAGCCTTGGATGATGCCTTACACTAGAGCTGGATTATGTAAGAAAAATCTTAAATTGCAATACTAAAACAGAATTGCAATGTCAACATCAATTAAGCTTATCTTACTTTGCATTACGCAATGTCTCCACCCCTGGCTGTGACCTTTAGCATCTCAGCAAATAAAAAGCTAAACCAGGTGTGGCCATTTAGGGCAGCTTCAGTCCCTTCAATTGTGCAAATACTTAATTGGTAGGGTGTAAATTCCTGCCACTCAAAATATTGTATATTCTTCTAAATATGCCATGCAAGAATACCTTTGCTGCTGTGATATTACTATTCAGTGCAAAAGTTATTGCGATGGCCATTATGTATTGAGCAGCTTTAGACAAAGTTAAACTCTGTTTTTGGTTCCCCATTTTGAATATTATACAATGCAAGATGGTATTCACCATAATATTTGCAAAAATAGCTAATTTCTAACACTCAGACCTCAATAAGAGATCTTGAATAATTTCAATGCCTCACATATAAACTAGGATTTAAAAATAATTTCATTAAGTTTATTCTTTTTTTTTTAAAGTAGCAGCTTACACAATAACTCTAACAAATACTTTCAGCAGCTTCATATCACAAAAAATATTGCGGTATCTTTAATGTTGTATACATCTCCAAGAATCCTACAGAAAATTTAAGGATGGATATAGTGGGTAATGACATCTGCATACCTCGACCTATAGAGCTGTTACAGAGTTTATCTTAAAGGAATAGTACACCCAAAACATGATTAGCCTTCATTCTCTACTCACCCCCATGCTGAACAACACACTGGAGTACTTTTTTGATATCACCTCCCAGATCTCCAGATGCATTTGAGATATAAAAAAAGTACTCCAGGGTGTTGTTCAGCATGGGGGTGAGTAGAAAATGAAGGCTAATCATGTTTTGGGTGTACTATTCCTTTAAGGACTCTAGATCAAATTTCTTAATTTTATATTAGACTGAATCAGAAAAAAAAAAAAAGAAAAAAAAAAAAAGAAAAGCTAAACCAAAGAAAACCAAAGAGCCTAAATTATTGAATATACTATGTAACAAATCTTAACATTTTTTCAGGAGCCAAAAAAAACATAATTTAACCACTGTGGAGGAATTGTATTAGTCTAATCTAGTTGAGCGGTGCAACATGACTCTGAGACTGCGTTAGCAGGATAAGTTACAAAGTTTATCACTTTAATTATTACTTTGACCATAGATAAGGGGAAGTTTAGTTATTAGGAGGTTCTCAACATGAACATATACCTGTGTTTCTGCACATCGCCATAAGGGGCCCTGGTGCCTGTCTCCGAATACTTGGGGTTCTGTACTTTATGAACAGGTCATTATCCCTTCACACGGAGGAAACAGATACACACACAACAACCATTTATGAACAGCAGTTAACTATGAAAAAAATTGTTGATTTAAGATTTTCTACTGTTGAATTTACTTCTGGATAATTGCTTAAAGTGGCTCTAGTAAGGCTCTATTAAAGGTGTGTGTGTGTTAAATCTGGTAACACAACGTGACCAGTAGAGGTCAGTCTAACATCTCAACCCTCTCCTCTGGTTTGCAGAACTACATCTCTGAGATGGACTTTGAGAGCCTGCTGGGTGTAAGTCGGTCTGAGTTTGCAGCCATGTCAGAATGGCGTAAGGTGGATCTGAAGAAAAAAGCAGGCCTCTTCTAGGAAGCATTTAACCGCTGGGTTTCACAGAAGCGGTGCCAAACCTGTCCGACCGAGAAACTGAGAAATCAAAGCAAAACACATTATGTCTCTATTGACAGAAGCAGAGGGAGTTGTTCTGAATAACTTATTCACTTAAATGTTTTTAAGCATTACGCAAGTTCAGTAGATTAGAAAAGAAATTTGACTTTTAATAAGCAGATTGCCTTGTTTTTAATGATAGATGTAGTCTGAATGAATGTATTGAAAAATGTTTATAAGCTGATCACCTAATAAAGTTGTCTGTGTTGTTGCAATGAATCAGAAGCTATAACAAATAAAAAGAGAAAACCACCTGTGAGAGATTAAGACTGCTTTTATTTAAGAAGTAGTGCAAACACTAACAAGAAACATGACGAACCAATGCATACAGTTCCAAAAAAGAAAGTATTTTAAAATAAAATGTGACAGTTTATAACGTTTTAGTATTTTTTTTTTTTTCTCGCATATTTTGACCTGGTCATCAAGCCTATGAAAAATACACACTTTGGTACAAGGCTTTAGATTAAGAAGTAGAACACAAAGGCACATAAAAAACATTACACTAAATAGATAAAATAATTCTCATTTAAGAAAATAAAATAACTACAGACTTAACATTGGCTGGTATGAGAGAGTCATCGCATTTTCTTTTCTAGATATCACCATGCTAAGAGAAAATTGCACAGCCTTTAACAGTTTCTAAGCCCCACATACACATACTATTGCACCTTTTTGCTATTTTGCTCTTTATAGAAAACACACTTGGGGCCTAACAAGGTAGAATTAGCTGGTTAGATAGTCTGGCTACCTGCTTTGATGGGCAGTCTTTTATTAGAAAAGCAGCTTATAGCCTGAAGTTATTAAACAGTGCAGTTTAGGTTACGCACCATGATTGGCCTTGATGTGTGCGGCTGAAAGCATTTCCAAAAATCCGAGTTTGTTTTTTGTAAGCAAGGGAAACATGAGGTAGCCTTTCTGTAGTCAGCTGTGTGTTCAGTAGAAGTCACAGGTCAGATAGGGGGAGTGTGATGTTACTCTGTGCTTCTAACTGTAAAACGACATAAATTCAACACCTTTATTGACATCTTACTAAAAAATACTTTAAACTGTAGGTAAGATGCAGCAAGAAAGGTTGTCAGATTTTAAACTGTGGCCTGTTTTTTTTCCTCTATGCATTTAACCAGCCTGTACCCAGTGCAGACCTCTGCAATCGTTAGTTATATATATTAAGGTCTGATCTACTCTGCAAATCTAGGAAAAGCAAAATAAATGCAGATATTTGTTGCCTGATAATTCAGAAGCAGACAGTCATGTAAAATATATGATGATTAATCTCCCGAGACAGAAAAAACAGTTAAATGACCCTCATTCAATAACATCACGTCCCTCCCATTCACACACAGTTTCAACTACTTTCACTTCACTATAATAACAAAGCTCAAATATTATAGGTTAAAAAAATAAACAGGTAGAGAGTGTCTTTAACAAAGGTTTAGGGAGCCCACTGCAATACTTGGTCATTGCTCTGCTGTTGGCTTTTAAATCTTGAAGGTTTTCATTTCTGGTGTGACGGTTTTCCCTCTTTTATGATCCTACTGACGTTATATGAGCATGATATGCACAAACAGCCCTGCAGAAGGGATGACATCGCCCCTCTTGGTGAGCAATGGGACATGGCGATATCCTGCAAAAGAGGAAGTAATTTTCAGCCTTGTCAGCAAAGCTAAGGTTTGCACAATCAGAGTTATGTTATTTAGGAAGATTAACAAAACAAGAACAAAAAGCATGTGAAAACAAGTGAAACAACCAAACTTTGACTTCTCTGCTTTGTGTTAATAGTTTCATACCGTTCTGAACGCTGGTGAGCGGCAGACAGTAATTCCCAATGTGATCATTCTGAGAAGTTGAGTCATAGTCCTCCAAAACAAAGCGCAACAGGGCCAGCTCAGGAACGTGGATAGGAAAGACAAATTTCTCATTCCATGTGGGGTTGAAACCTGCAAGGAGAAAATCATTGGGTCAGCAGAATGCTGAAAAAGTGTCCAGTCTGCTGTGCATCTCAATCAAAATAATTGCTGACAGATTATTTTTTCTTTCAAGAAATCAGATCCCAAAGAGAATGTCAAATTTTATTTTAATTAATTATAAATATTATTACTACAGATCTTTTGGGAGGCTCCTGACTTAACAGCAGACTGTATTGAGGCAGTGTTCCACTTAAAGTCATTGCTAAAAAAAAAAAAACTGTTTGCAGAGTTTGATGGAGAAAGTTCAGGGAAGTTATGAAAGGAAATAATATAAATAAAAGAATGTTTCTTAAGCATTTAATAGCAGAAAATAATAATTAAAATATTTTCTTTTCATGAAATTTATAACTGTAATGATCCTCTTATGTTCAATATTTTACAGGTGCTGGTCATAAAATTAGAATATCATGAAAAAGTAGATTGATTTCAGTAATTCCATTTAAAAAGTGAAACTTGTATATTATGTTCATACATTACATACAAACTCATATATTTCAGATGTTTATTTTGTTTAATTTTGATGATTACAAATGACAACAAATGAAAATCTCAAATTCATCATATCAGAAAATTAGAATATTGTGAAAAGGTTCAAAATTGATGGCCCCTGGTGCCACACTCTAATCAGCTAATTAACTCAAACCACCTGCAAAAGCCTTTAAATGGTCTTTCAGTCTAGTTCTATAGGCTACACAATCATGGGGAAGACTGCTGACTTGACAGTTGTCCAAAAGACGACCATCGACACCTTGCACAAGGAGGGCAAGACACAAAAGGTCATCGCTAAAGAGGCTGGCTGTTCACAGAGCTCAGTGTCCAAGCACATTAATAGAGAGGCGAAGGGAAGGAAAAGATGTGGTCGAAAAAAGTGTACAAGCAAGAGAGATAACCGCACCCTGGAGAGGATTGTGAAACAAAACCCATTCAAAAATGTGGGGGAGATTCACAAAGAGTGGACTGCAGCTGGAGTGAGTGCTTCAAGAACCACCACACACAGACGTATGAAAGACATGGGTTTCTGCTGTCGCATTCCTTGTGTCAAGCCACTCTTGAACCACAGACAGCGTCAGAAGCGTCTAAAGAGAAACAGGACTGGACTGCTGGTGAGTGGTCCAAAGTCATGTTCTCTGATGAAAGTAAATTTTGCATTTCCTTTGGAAATCAAGGTCCCAGAGTCTGGAGGAAAAGAAGAGAGGCACTTCATCCACGTTGCTTGAAGTCCAGTGTAAAGTTTCCACAGTCAGTGATGGTTTGGGGTGCCATGTCATCTGCTGGTGTTGGTCCATTGTGTTTTCTGAGGTCCAGGGTCAACGCAGCCACATACCAGGAAGTTTTAGAGCACTTCATGCTTCCTGCAGCTGACCAACTTTTTGGAGATGCAGATTTCATTTTCCAACAGGACTTGGCACCTGCACACAGTGCCAAAGCTACCAGTACCTGGTTGAAGGACCATGGTATCCCTGTTCTTAATTGGCCAGCAAACTCTCCTGACCTTAACCCCATAGAAAATCTATGGGGTATTGTGAAGAAGAAGATGCAATACACCAGACCCAACAATTCAGAAGAGCTAAAAGCCACTATTAGAGCAACCTGGGCTATCATAACACCTGAGCAGTGCCACAGACTGATCGACTCCATGCCACGCCGCATTGCTGCAGTAATACAGGCCAAAGGAGGCCCAACTAAATACTGAGTGCTGTACATGCTCATACTTTTCATGTTCATACTTTTCAGTTGGCCAACATTTCTATAAATCCTTTGTTTTTATTGGTCTTCAGTAATATTCTAATTTTCTGATATGATGAATTTGAGATTTTCATTTGTTGTCATTTGTAATCATCAAAATTAAACAAAATAAACATCTGAAATATATGAGTTTGTATGTAATGTATGAATATAATATACAAGTTTCACTTTTTAAATGGAATTACTGAAATCAATCTACTTTTTCATGATATTCTAATTTTATGACCAGCACCTGTATGTTCTATTTTTCTTATATTTATGTTAATACAATTTCAGGTCCTGATTTGACTTCTTAGTATGTGCTTAATCTTGTTTATGGTTCCACTCCTTTTCCTTGCTCCTATCCCTTCACTTTTTACAGGGTCAATAATAAGAATACTATCCAGGGTAGGAAAAGTGCTCTGGACAGCTGTGCTGAATCCAGACAGCCTTCAGCCTTACAGACTTCATTACACGTACATGAATGACCTGGTCAAATTGGGGATACAGCTTTCCAGAAAAGAACTACAAAAAAACAAAAGTTCCTGAAGCAACTGTAGCTTTAATACTTCATGGCTTAAGTGTCCTTAAGCATTCAGATTGAGTCTGTCTGGTTGTCTGTTTGTTTATTTGATTTTTCCTGTTCCTCTGCCAGTTTTATATTTATTTTCCTATTTATTTATTTATTTATTTATTTATTTATTTATTTATTTATTATTATGTATTTAGTTTATTTACATATTGTTCAGGAAATGAAACACAATAGATGATTATATAGAAAATATATTTAAAATCACATGTGTAAAAATGTCACGTCAACCAGCTTTTAATGGTGTTTTAATAGTACTAGATATTGGCCAGATATCCTTATAATACACAGTTGATAATCACACAGTAGATGGAGCAAGATACAGATATTCACACAGTAATTGATGGGTATAATCAACATATTGCTAGGAGATGAGTCTTTATCTTTGCCATAAAGACTGAAATGAAATGTGACATTTTTATTTCTTTTTTATAAATCAAGTCTGTGGTCCTCTGGAGACATACTAAAGCTTGTACATTTTATTCGATAATTCCTTTTTTAAGTTATTAGATTTTTTTGTCTCAGCTGTATAGGTGTGCCTAGGTACAACGGAGTATTAGAGCCAGGCTAGAGAATTTGTTTTAATATTTTTCTATTTCGAGAATAAATTTGTAAGTTACTAGAATAAAGTTATAAAATTACAAAAATAAAGTCACAACATTACGTGAATAAACACATAATATTACGAGAATAAAGTAGTAATATTACGAGAATAAAGTAGTAATATTACGAGAATAAAGTTGTAATATTATGAGAAAGTTGAAATATAACAAGAATGAAGTCCATCGTACCACAACTCGTTTTAAAAAGAAAGCTTTCAGCTGCTGTGCTTAAGATTTCCTTATTTGTCAAACCGAAACCAAAGTATAACTTCACATGATGGTTGACATTCCTCATTTTAGGAATGTCAATCATGTAAGAGCTGTCATACAATACATTTTCATTCTCATAATATTACAACTTTACTCTCGTAATTTTATGACTTTATTCTCATAGTAACTTTATTTTCATACTAATATCACTATATTCTCATTATTTTATGACTTTATTCTTGTAATGTTATGACTTTATTCTCGTTGCGACTTTATTCTCATAATATTATGACTTTATTCTCGTAATATTATGACTTTATTTCGCAATAAAACTTTATTTTCATTATTTTGAGACTTTATTCTTGTAATATTACTACTTAATTTCCGTTATTTTATGACTTAATTCTTGTAATGTTACGACTTTATTCTCGTAATTTTATTACTTTATTCTCGTTGCTACCTTATTTTCATAATATTATGACTATTCTGAAAACAAAAACAAAAAAGATTCTCTAGCCTGGTCTTAATACTTGTTTATGGTTCAGCTTGTGGACAGTCAGGTACATAACACAAGCTTTCTGGAAGTAGTTATTCTCAGCCTCAGAGGACTTAAACGGTGGAAAATCATTTCATCTACTTCCTATAAGGTTTTTGGTGATCTATTTTATCCCTGTTTCCACCTACTTAGACTCTCTGCTTCGAGCTGAACATTATAATAGAATGATAACTGAATCTACCAAGATGTAAATGCACTCATATGTAGGTTCCACTCACCGTTGTTTTGGATACATTGCGTCTCCTTGCTGGCATTGTCAGCGGGGACCCCATAAATCTCCACCCTCACCAGAGGGTCAACGAGGGACTTTTGTTTTTCTTTGTTCAGTTTAGGCAACTGCTGAGCTGAGATCACCTGTTGTGTTCAGACACATATGATCATATTAAAATCATCAGCCTTTGTCCTTTGCTTGCAAAAGGGTTATATTTTTGAAGGATTCCAGTTTTAAAAGATGCCGATCTCAACTATAGCTGCTATTAAAATTAAACAACCATATAACCATATAATACTGGAAGAACTGGTAAAATCCCCTTTACGTTAATTATTGAAATAGAAAAGCTTGAATAGTTTCTGATATTTTAAAGGCATGCCATTCCAAGAGGAAAAGTAAAAACGGAGATTAGAGTCGGAAATTTAAGTTTAAAGATTTAAAATTCTACACAAAAGAAAATGTTGAAAATTCCACAAATACAAAAATTGTAAAAGTACAAATCGAGAGCTGGGTCTTTACTAGAGTGTTGCTAAAATAAAAAAAAGTAAGTTTATACATAAACCTAACAATACCAATGAGGGCCTCCATGCCACAAAGCTGTGTTAGTGGGTTAAATCTGGGTTAAATCCCTGCATACCACGACTTTTTCATTTCAGGAAGCTAGGAAGTCATGACCAGAGTGAAATGATGACAGAAAACGACAAAATAAAACAACCATGCTTTGTAGCAGGTTATTTTTTACCTATTTTCATTGAATCATACATACTATTATTCTGAGACTTCATAAACAGTCCAGTCAGCGGCCTTCAACCATTGATAACAACCTCATGCAATCAAAGGTTAAATTATGTTTGGGAGATTTTACATCTCTTTGCAGGTGATGAAGCAGACTGAAAATGTTTTATCGTTATCTCCCTTTTTATCTCCTCTTTCTTTCATCTTTTCATCCTTTTTTTTTCTTCTGTTCTACCTACATTACAGTGTCCAAGCAATTTTTATGCATAAATCAAGCGGAATACTATGGCAATAGCCATCCTGCTCCACTTGTGAAAATAAAATCTGTTGGGCTCTTTTTGGCATCAAGACAATTGTTCTTATTGCCACATCACCAGACAGGACACTGTTAAAAATAAATAAATAATGTTTTGGACAACACTAATGGGTTGAAGGTGAAGAAATAAAATCTATAAAAAAATCTATTGTATATGTGGGCGTAAACAGCAGCAGTATTCCTGAGGTGAACTCTCACCATGACATGGAGGGTCTTCTGCTGTAGCCACGGCCCTTTGGTCAGAGAGTTGGGATTGAACTGAGACGACAGGCTTCTCTGGAATTCAGGTTTCAGGATGTAGCCGCAAAAACCGTTTTGCAGAAATCGGCCTTGGTTAAGGTGCATCTCCTTCGAGGGAGTTTGGAAGTTCAAGGCCACTTAGAAAAGCAAAAAAAAACAAAAAAAAAAACAGATAGGATAAAAGAGTTGATGCTTGTCAATCAGCATGCTGATGATTTTATTTCTAAACTTAGCCTCATGGAAAATTACCAATCTGGCAGCCGACATTCCACATGGGGACGGGGTTGTAGTTGGATGAGTCTGTCCTGGAGCCAGCAGGGTAGATCCTGCTGAGCTTGTCCATGTTGTGATGGATGAAGGCGGTGCCTGTATAAACACATTAAAGTCATTGATGCAGGCAGGTGTTTGTTTTGTAAATCTGAGAAGGTTTCTCTCGGAAAAACTGACATGGGATTACAAATAAACACACCATTAGTCATACTCACAACCACAATGCTCTGATTTAAGCATTGAGTAAAAATAAATACATAGTAACCAAAGCTGACTATAACATATTCATTTTCATCTGGTCTATTATCTGACAAAGAGAACAGAATGGCAACCTGTCTTTTAATACAGACATAATTCAGTCGTTACGCTATGCTTACTTTCCTATATCCTGTCCATGTCTATTCCTAGAGGCTGTTACTGTTCTAAAACTGGTAGACATCACATGTAGGGCTGCAACTAACAATTATTTTGAAAATGGATTAATTTGTCAATTATTTTTTTGATTAATAATTGGATAGCAAAAGGTTTTAAACCAGATGATACCTAATCTTTTCCACTTGTGGAGTGTTGGATAGAGCACATTGACAGCACATTGATTAGATGCAAAAACTGTATATTTATTTTTTTTTTTTTACAATTTTGATATAATTACTGCTCTAATTGGGCCACTCTGTCAGCTAAAGGCATGTTTTACAGACTCTATACTCCAGTTAACAATCAATTACCTAATTAGCTGATGATTATTTCAATAACTGGTTAATGACAATTAAACCAATTAACTATTTCAGCCCTATTCATACAATACCTGAATTGTCAGCTAGGCTGAAGGCTTTGCTTTCCTTGAAAGATGACATTTCATAGAAATCCTGGTTGTCTCTGGCATGTTCAAACCCATGGAAATGGACGCTCTTACAGTAGATGACAATATCCGACAGCTGTTTGGCGAGTTTGATCTTTGATTTCTGAAAGACGATGAAGACAAATCAACATCAAATCTGAGACTCCAGCAAGTCTTTTCTACCTTTATCTTTCACCAAATAAGTACAAATCATGTGACTGACCTTTGACTTTGCTTTTTGATCTTTCTCCTTAACATCCGCAGCCTCGTCTTCGTCAGACACCGTATCTTCCTCAACAATGTTGTTGTTAGAGAACATGGCGTCCAGTTTGTTCAGTCTTTTCCCCTTGATGAGGAACTTCCCCTTCAACTCCTGCATGTAAAAAACACAAAGTATGCTTAAACATTTTGTTGTACAATTTGTAAAATGCAAGAAAGCACATTGTGTTATTTTTTGTAGTCTAATAGCATGTGTCAGTGGTTTTCACCGCTGTCATTAATACTTTTGAAGCTCGTCGCACTAACAATATCCAGTAAATATTTTTTACATCCACTTCACCCTTTTTAATTTAGTTTCCATCAACTGATTCCAAAACAAAGTGCAGATTATTTTTAGTAAAAGTGAGGGGAATTTGCTCAACATTAATGACACATATCTATTAAATTTAAGCAATGAAATCTTCCTAGAATTTCAAATTATTTAAACATCATGGTAAAAAAAGGGATAAAAGAAGACCACATGAACAATGAATCATCTCCATGGCTAAGACCCTGATTGGTTATATTTACAATAAGTAGCGAAAATCCAAATTTTGCAGAGCCTTTCTGTTTTTTATGCTTATGCAACTTTTTTAAAAATTGATCCAGGTAAACTAAACTTTCATCTCCCTAATAAAAAATCAAAAAAAGACTTTCCCCTCCTATGGACCAATTAGTTTAAGTGCCGATTTTAAAATGTTACCCACAACTAGACATCTAAATAAAGTATTGCCATGTATTATCTCCCGTCGACAAACAGACTAGTTTAATCCTCCTTTGACTCTTAACCATAACAATATTTATATTTAAAACTTTAGAATGACTTGAAACTAACCGGAGCTTAAAGTGATGCTTACATACCTCTGGTGAGGGGAAGTTAGTGGGCATAGTGTCACCCAAAGGCTTTGTAACCAAAGCATCCCCCAGGATGGAGAGCAAGTGATGGGCCATGACCTTCTGTTGTTCCACTGTGCAGTGGTTCTCCAAAGACAGAATTACAGGGTATTCAGATGTCTGGAAAAATAAAAGATCAACCATCAGCAAACATAACTTTTTGCTGTTACACGGGCAATAAAACATCTCACGTACCTTGAAGGCAAAGTCTCTGATGGCTCTAATGACATCTTTGAAAAGTATTCTTGATGTGAGAGTGTAGCCGTGATAAATAAGCGGCTCTCCATTAGGTCCATCCCAACAATCCAGCTCCACACAACGACAACTCTTCATCAGTGCCCTGTTAGAAGAGGGAACCCTTGAGTATCATGGATAAGAATACTAGTAAAAGGATTTCCTCTGCAATAAATCATAGGAGCAACTAATTGGCTACAAACTTTTATTCAATATAATTATATTTTATTAATCCTTGAAGGGAAATGCAGTAGAAGCTTTGAAAGAATGCCTATAGAAGCATTCCTCCAAATTATTCAGTTTCCTCTTAAATTAATCAAAAATATTCATGATTGTTAGGAATCCAGTTTGTGTGGCCTGTTTTTGTGTTTCCTTTTTCCACCCCAAGGAGGTGCCCTGCCTACTCTGTCCCTCCCTGCACATCTGCGGCTCATTGGACCATTATCTGGAGGAGTATTTGAGCAGTGGGTTGTCACTACCTCGACGCCAGAGTATTTGCCAGTTTTGGGAAGCTCCCTGTGTTACTGGATACCTGGACCTTCTCCCCCATGGAAGGAAATTCCGACTTCACACTAAGCAGGGGAAAACCTCCACATGTTCAGTTCAAGTTCCCATCGGAAATCCGAGTGACAGTCCAGTTCCGGTTCACCAACTCACTGAGTACCAGACCCTACTCCTGTTAACTTCCTAAATAAACCTGTTAAACCTTTCCCATGCTCTCCGAGTGGTTTCTCTGCATGTGGGTCAGATTCGTAAAACCGATCATGACAATGATAAGTCATCAATAATCAGTGGATGATTGACTGGATGCATATAAACATTGATTTCCTGTAATCTATATATATAGATGATAGTAACGGTCGAGTTCCACAACTGAACATTGTGGAACTTGCATCTTAATTTTGACTAGGGATGAAACAATGAATCGGATGAATTGTGATTAATCAAATATTGAAATAATCTACAACTAATTTAGTAATCGATTAATCGAGTATAGGGACTCTAAAATGTTCCTGTAGCTGTAAGAGCAAACCTCTTAAAGTATTAATTATACCAAAATTCTAAAAAATATTTAAAAAGTTTGCATTTAAGATGAAAAAAAAAATTTGGGAGTTTCGCCTGGTTTAATTTAATAAAAAATCCTCTTTAAGGAACCTTTTGGCTATCCGATTATTATTCAATTATAAAAAAACAAAATTGAGAGATTAATCGATTAGCAAAATAATCGAAAGTTGCAGTCGTAATTGTAACCACAAATCCTTTAAAGTTAAGTTTTGTAAGGGAAGTTATAAATATATATTTTCCAAAATATTCTAGTCACAGAAATAAAAATGTAATTAAAGGCTGAATTAAATTGTGCAACTTGTAATTAGGTAATACCAGGCCACACAGAACAACAAAATTCAAGAGTCCTTTCTATATTTTTTATATTAGAGCCTAATATAAGTGTTTACTTTATATAAGCCTCGGTGCTGCTGGGCCCTTTGAGTTGGTCCTCCATCAGGTAGGTGTTGTGCGAGGAGGAGATAAAGTAATGATTGAGAGGCTGACTCATGTCTTGATAAACCCGCGTGTGAGCTGGGTTGAGAATGGATCCTTCGTCATGGTTGAGGTACATAAGGAATCCGTCTTTAGTCATGTGCTTCTTCTGCTTTGCTGCGAGGATCAGTAGAGAGAGATGAGTTATGCTTGAAACATTTAAAAACAAACCATCCAGCTCTAATTTAAATACCTGTTTCGTCCAGTTCGTATTTATCAATCAGCTTGAGCGCGCTCTCCTTGGTCGCCTGCTCCCTCTGCTCGTTCAGCAGGAAGTTCAGCAGATCCATGTAGCTCATCTCACCTTCTGTTTTGGCATAGTTCTTATAGATCACATCTATCTCCTCGCGATGTGTTAAGAGGTCGTAAAATTTCTTGATCTCTAAGTCTTCCAAAGTACCCGAATTTGATTCATCACATTTCTGCATAAACATAATGAGACCTTAATCAGATTTTGGTGTTACTTAAAAATATGTGCTCATTAAGATAAATTCCCTGGGGAGGTTTTTCATTGTCCTACCTTAAATAGTTCCCCAGCATAGCTGTCATCCACCTCAATGTTGAGCTGCCTCAGGAAGTGCTTCAGCTCTTTTAACGTCATTTTGTTGTCTTTGTTCTTATCTGCTTTCCGCATGCAGTTGATGATCCAGCTGGTTTTAGATGTAAGGCTTTTGTTTACAACAGAACAATACCAAAGAAACACCTATGCAGAGAAGCTCGGTTTCTAAAGAACTTACAACATATAATACATAGATTCAAAAAAGCTGTGAGGTAGATAAATCATGATTAAAGCATTTTGAAGTTCATGGCTGGTGCTAGAGAATAGTGGACAGTGGAAATAGTGGACACTAGTGTTTTGCACAGATCAAAGCTTTAAACTGGTTTCATTTTCACAAAAAAGGATAAATAGAGAAATTAAGCCTCAAGCTCTAAATCTTGATCTAGTCTCTAAACATCAGATGAAAAAAAGGATAAGTTAAGTATGTAATTAGAGTTCATTCAAAGTAGTTTTGGTTTAGAAGAAAAACAGCAGATGTCACCCAGTTGGGGAAAAAAATCCTTCTTGTAAATCTAAACTGAAAAAGATCCCTGAATATCTGATGCTTTTCAAGTGACTGACTTTTTTTTGGCACGCATCCATCTATTTCTCCCTATGAGCTACGACGTCTTGTTTTTACTTCCACTTTTGACTTAGAAAAAGAGAAAAAATTTAGAGCTACAACAACTGACTTCAATGATTTGATTTAAAAAAAATTCAGAGTCCATCCTTTTTATAAAATAATGACTCGACAATAATTGGATCCTCATATTTTTGCTCATGGAATAAAAAGGTATAAAACATATCCTCATTAAGGATACTGTTCACTCTTCTGTTTCTTGTTGAGGTTGCGCATGTTATTGACGACCTTCTCCAGGCTGCTGACCCACCGGTGGGCCTCCTCCTTGGAAGATGCCATGAAGTCAAGGTTCTTATCACGTCCCTTGAATATGATAGAGAAGCACTTCTCGTCTTCGCTGGGGTCAGTGTATTTTTCTAATCCCTCAGACTGGCGGCCCTTGCGCACAGATTCAATGTCATCGATGAGGACTGTTTGGAGAAAACAGGACATACAGTATTATTAGGATCTGGATTAAGAAGCATGACTGTTTAATAATAACTACCCGATTTTATTCATCAGTCTAACTTTTAAATATACATCAAGTGAGCAGATTGAGACTTTAAATGGAATCTGCATGTGTGGAGAAATTGTTTATAAAGCTTTTAGGGCTTTTGGTAAAACTACAGAAAAGTTGAACAGATTGCTTTATTCTTAAGCATTTTGAACCTTTGAGTCATTGTTATCTTTTAATGTACAGCCCTTCCTTCAACATGTTATCATGCAGACATACTACATGTTCCTTTTGATACAACATAATTGTTTTGATATCTTATCCACTGATAAGGCTTCTGCTTTTATGAGGGAGGTCCCTTGTTTAGCCTATCACACGTCCTTGAAAGCAACCACATTGTTCTGAAAAGACTTAGCCCACCTCAATGTGGGATTTTTTTTTTTAGACAAATAGAGAGTATGGACAGTATTACATAGGGAGAAAACTAACAATAACCAAAAAGACATTATGCAAAGAAAGGCCCTAAAAATATATATTTTGTGGCCAATACTTTTTATTATGCTATTTCTACCAGTAATATCTGTTGCTGCAATCAATAGTCAAATTATCAGATCATTCACAAACCAACTATAAACTCATTGCAGCTCTGGCATTGCTATTTGAAAGCATCATCTAGTGTTACTAAAAATAATAAAATAGAATATTGTGTGTTTTATTTTGAGTAAGTAGTAGTCAAGTTCCACTGCTCTTCCTTATAGCCCACTCATTGAAACCTTAGCCTTCTGTCTTTTCTGTCAAAAATTCCTTGTTGACATCACTATAAGAAATTTAGCTCAGTTGAGCTGCTTTTTTTTTTTTTTTTTACGTTCATAACATCATGTTGCTGTCAAGGTTAAAAAAGACCAACCCTTCTGTCACGCTAATCCGGGTCGTGAGGGGTGCTGATCTCCAGCTGTGTACGGGCATGAGGTGGGGTACACCCTGGACAGGTCAGCAAGGCAACACAGAGACAAACAGGACAGACAACTATTCACACACACACTCACACCTAAGGACAATTTAGAGAAACCAATTAACCTAACAGTAAGGTACGCCACTGAGCAGCCCTCAGTCATCTTCCATGTTTGTTTAATTAAGCAAATGCAGTTAAAGTACTTAGACAATTAGGAGATGTATCTGTCTGTCTAAAAAAAAAAACACATCTCTTGGTTAATGTATCATAATGACCCTGGATTAATGCAAAATACAGCTATTTATTGACTTTACTTTTTGTATTGTCCTACTGCCAAGCATGTGGAACACAAGGGCACATAAAAATAGCACAACAGCCATTTTTTTTCTGGCTGAAAATGCTTTGATTTATCATCCCACAATGTAAAACAGAGAGCATGCACTGAAGGTCTCTGCTTATGCAATCTGTTTCGTGCATACTTTAGAGGCCAGTTCTTTTGTTTAGGAGCTTAATGTACGGAAGAGGACACACCAACGGACATATTGTCATCACACTAAGTAGCAACAATCAAGATCAAATCAATTACAACTTAAAGCTCAGTTACAATGTCAACTGAGGTTTTAACATACGTCACAAATCTAAATTATCTTAAGGACAAGGGTTTTTTTAATAGTCTTAGATGTTTTCTTAATTGAAAAAAATTCAAATATCAAGTGAAATCAGAGGAAGCTCACTCGAATATTAAGGTGGAAAAATCTGAAGAGTAATCCCCTCAAGTCTCATGTCTACATTTCGTGTGAAAAAGTAGGTTTTTGACTTAAGGGGTTGAAGGTTTAGTTCACTGATATAGGAAGCAGTACGATTACATAGTGACCACATAGTGTAAGTCAAGCTTTCAAAGCGAATTACATTCAGTATAGAAGATTTTATTCATTCATGTAAATGAGTTAAACACCTCATAAATGTGTTGGTATTTAGCAGCTAACACAGTTTAAAAAGCTGAAATGAAGGTATATAAAAACAGATTTACTGGAAATTTAAGTTAATAAGGTGTTATTATGGTTATTGTGGTGAACATTGTTGTTATTGGTATTGTTATCAATAACAATAATAACACAGTTAGCAGTAGTATTGTAATGATAATGATTGCTTTATTAGACTTAGACTTTGACAGACTTTATTGTCATTTTGTACACATAGTGTATACAAAAAGAAATTACATTCAGTGCAGCTGTCAAGACATTTTAATTTTTTAAAGTGCAGCAGTGATAAATGTAAACACACGACTGTATATTAGTTACAGTTTCCAAAATTCCGGGTCTTTTTTGTTTTTTGTTTGTTCTTTTTATAACCCAATTTTATACAACATTCAGCCGTCTAATGGCAGTTGGGAAGAAACTGCTGTGGAATCTGCTGGACAAGCATCAAATGCTTCAAAGTCTCTTTCCAGAGGGCAGCAGGGAGAATATTCCTGCTATGAAGTGAAAACTGGTGTCAATGTTGTTATTAAAATGTTATTATTAATGTGTTATTATTAAATGATAAATAGTTGTATTATCACTAATTACATTTGTTGTTATGGATGTTGGTTATAACATTATGTAATAATTTTATATAGAGTAATTTCTAAATTTGTGCAACGAAGGATTGGGATTAAATATGCATTGTCTTCTTCCTCCTTTTGAACAAAGACTTTCTTCTTCAATTGTATATTTTCTCCTTCTGTTTCGTCTTTGTTTTGATTATTGTTTTATAATCAAATAAAAGTCGTAATAAAAAAAAAAAGTAATCCATGTATCTCAGGGGTGTGGTGAGGACACAGGCTGATTCATCATTAGCCAATCCTTAAAACAGGTAAGATAGGAGAACCTCCCATTCAAGCAAAGAAGATGTGCTTTGATCCTCATAAGTCAGGAAGCAACAACAAGAGAGATGCTACTACCCCAATCTTCAGTCAATACAAAAAATTAATTAATAAAATTAATGAAACAATGTTTTGGACCCATATTTAGCTCTTTACCACACAGTTCAGGAAGTTAAATAACTTAAGGCTAAAAAAAAGATATTACAAGAAAATCTTTGAGAGCTGCGCTATGCTGTGGTATTGAAAGATTGCTCCTCTTTTTTTTTTTCTTTTTTCTGTTTTTTACAAATTTTTCCTATCTGTTCCAGGGTCCCTAACTGCTGCACAATCTTGAAAATAAAACCTTACCTTTAGCTCCATGCTAAACTGATTCTGCTCGATTTCATTTCTACAATATAAATTATCTTGAATATGTCACTAAATAAAGCAGACATATTTGATATTGAGTCTAAATATTCCTGTTTATAGTAACACTATTGAGTGTGATGATCTTAATCTCACTTTATGATGGGAAAGAAAAAAAAATCATTCATGTAAGGCAGAAATTGGAAAATATCTTGTGTCTTATTGGATTAATGTTCACTTTTCGATAGCAAGATTAATTGTATCCCGCCCCACAAATATTGAAGCAAATGTAAAGCAAGGTAAGTCATAAAGGCTCTCGAAGGCTCACTGCTCATCACTGCACTCATCATTGGCTTATAGGTCACTAAGCCTCCATGTGACTGTTAGATGGTGTCATCTTTTGTATGAAACAAAGGTAGAATATGTGCTAACGCAGATACCAAATTTTAATTATGGTAGCAGAGGTGTGATGCTGCAAGTCCAATTATCTTCCAAAAGCCATGTGAAAAGTGTATGACTATACAAACTCTTTGGAATGCAAGGAGATTTAAAATAAAAGTCATCTCTGGGTCTTTCAGCATTATCATGAGCCAAAACATTTAGCCAAATAACACAGAAAAGGGTTAATCGGACAGTACATTGACAATTTTTATTAACGCACCCAAAAATTTAACTCAAGTAAAAGTAGCACTATTTTATCACTTTCATTGATTAGTCAAGAAATTACGCAAGTAGAAGTAAAAACGTATTTGGTATAAAGGCTACTTGAGTGCTAAGTAACTGTTGGATAATAAAATCAGATTTAATGTCTATGAATTATGCTTGCAAACAGACTTTATGTGCAAGTTCTGGCATTTTAAAGACTCAAATGCCTCAAGAATATAAATAATAGTCATGAATATAAAAGAACAAATTGACATAAAACTAATCCTTACAACGAGAACTGTGCACATGTTAGGGCGGGATAACAAGCTGCCACTGTTCTACTGTTTATTGACTGTTTATCTGACTTTGGAATAGTTCAAATTACTCACAGAGGACAGAGTAATCAGAGTTACTCAAGTAGGAGTAGCGATACAAAATGATTATTTGTTTAGTTACTGTACCACAGTTGTTTCATGTTAGCTGGGTAGGACATGAACAATTGTGTAAAAGTAACTAAATATGATTAAGTAAATGCCAAAAGTGGTTGCATTATTTTTTTCAATGTACAATCATATTACTAGATAGGTTTTTTTCTTTTGTAAGATTTACATCTTTATTTTTTCTTTCACTCTCTTACTAACATGACATTATCACTGGAATGTTAACAGGGTTTTCATGCAGAAAGATTCTAAAGCATGCATAGAAAAAACCCTGTTTCGAAATGTGGTTAAAAACAACAGGTGCTTTGCAGACATCCTCCCACAACTTCTACACAAGTACAGGGTGACAGTGAAATACATTGCTTCCCTCAGTCAACAAGTGAATGCGTGTTAAGAGTAAATTATAAAACAGTAAAAACTAAAAATGGTCAAAGCAGCAACAAAAGAACCACCAGACCAGTTTGTGGTTTCCTTGTTGTTCTAAGCTCAGACTGGACTGTGAGAGAATATGAGCCTCACTATCAACAGGAAGGAAGGGAAACCTGAGCTACCAAATATCTAGATATGCACATTCTGACAGAAATCAAAGAAAAATAACTGAAACAGGGTCACGATACGCACTATATTCCTGTGACCATTGCCCCAACCATAGCAGATGTGTGAGCTGTTTTCACTCCACCACCAACATTTTTTTATATATTTGCCTTAGAAATTTGTGGGACATATCCATGTGTGTGCTTATGTGTTATGAAGCAAGAAGCTATTGTTTTAAATCTGGAAGAATGCCCTTGGTGTACACAATAACAGTCACAGGGTGTGAAGCCGGAGCGGAAGAGAGATTTGCTGGCCAAGGTAATGACATTTAGCAAGATCATTTTGTCAATCTCGAACACAAAATAAGATGAAACTCACAGGTTTTTTCTCGTTTGAAGAGTTTCTCGGATGGGTACCACAAGGTCCTACAGTCTTCCATCAGCTTAAAGAAGCGGCCCCTTTGCCAGGATTTGGAACGAACCTTGATGAGCTCGCCACCAGCCAGCAGGAAATTAAGGTCCGCATCCCCTTCCAGACCTGGAAGATAAGCGACAGAAGATTGATATACAGAATTCTGATTTACTTGTCGGCCACATTAAACAAGAAAATGTAAAAAAATAAACCGGAGAAGCAAAAACTATATATATCTCTAAGGTTATTCTGCATAAGAATTTAGCATAATGATTTCCACTAAGATAATAAGATCTGCCAAGACAACAGAATTTATTTCCACATCGGTCATCTACCTCAGTGTTTCCCAAAATTTTTTTACTTCTGTACCCCTTTGGGCATCTTGTATTACCATGAGTACCACCCTCAGTAAAAGTTTTGATGATTGTCCAAAAGTGGATAGGGCAATAACTGAAATAAAGACTATTTAATCTAATCTTTTAATCTGAGCATTTGATTTTTATAATTTAATGTTTTCCATCTGGAAAACAAAACAAAAAAAAACATAAATATGTTGCCTTGAAGTTAATAAGGATTCTAAATAAATACAAAATAAAATCCTATTATAAACCTGTATTTACAAAACTGAAGCTCCTCTGAATAAATACATTTAAACTTGATGAATTGGGAACAATATACAGAACAAAACCTATAGTCAGATTGACTTAATTAGTTTTATTTTGTGTTCATCAAGACACCTGAGCTGCTTCTATGAGCTCCGAGGGCTTAGTGTGAAGAACAGCTGATACCAGGCCGTTCTCTACATCCAGTCTGTCACTCTGCTTGGTTTGGATGTTTGTTACAGCTCAAGATGAACCCAAACACATAAGAAAACATACAACTTATTTTTCAATTGGATGTTCACAAAGCAAAATAGATCCCAGATCTATTTCATTTTACTACCTAAGAAATAAAATATTTTCATGTACTAGTTGCAATTCACTAGCGGACCACTAGGGGTACGTGTACCCCCAGTTTGGAAACACTGATCTACCAAAATGCCAGGGGTATCAATCTGCCTTTCTACCAATGGGGATTTCTCATTGAAAATTAGGGAGACTTAACCTCCCATGTAAATTTCACAAAATCATTTGGTAAAATATACAAAGACAAACTTCATGAATGTAGTCATTAAATATGCCCTAAAATGCACCTGAAATCATTAGTATGTTCCACATTAATCCTCTTTACTCTGCTCTCGGAAGGGGTCTCCCTTCCACTCTGGAGCAGCAGGATGCTGCCCATCAGCCTGTATGAGAAATCCCTGTTGAGATTTGAGCCTCCGTCTAGCAGATTATTAGATATTTTGGATAACATGCCAAAAAGATGTCACTGCCTGTGAGGCTAAACCTCTCAGGCTGTCTACGAAACAGGGGTGGGTCGTACTTAAGGATAACATTGGCCAGACAGCGAGGAGGCTTTTCTCATGAGTTGAAAAGGAAAAATTATAATTCTGTCAGAACATCTTGTGCTGAACTCTTAACATGATTTCTGGAGTTTATTATTTTAAAACGCTTCACAACAGCTATATTCACCTGTTTTAGTGATGTGTTCTATATCTTTCAACATTTATTAATGCAATTTGTGATGTTTGGACTTAATTAACACCACTGATCCTCCCTTGTTTCAGCAAGCAGCAGCCACCACTGCTTTCTGCCAGATTGCAATATAATCCATCATTTACTCTTCAAAAACTGGACGTCTAAAGGCATTTCTGCACAGCTTTCATCCAAAAAAGTGGTCCATAGTTGTGAAAAAAGTTCAAGGGATACTCCACAATACTTTTGCAAGGCACACTTTACTAGTCCTATTTCTTCTTCTCTCCTAATAAAGTATTCAGCATTTCCTTAAGCTTTCATTTCATTTTACATGATAATCTCCACCACTATACCACAAGGTTCCTTTTGTAAAACTATTCTTAAAACAACTAGTAACGTAAGTGTGTAAGTGACACTTGGTAAAGTCCACTTTACCGAAAGTACTGCGTGTAATATGGAAAGCTTAACCACAGTTCTGGTGTCCCTAGAGCTCAGACAGTAAGAGCAGGAGTACAGAGCAAAGGACCAGGCAGAGAGCCCCAGAGCTGGGGCAGAGGCAGAAGGCAATATCTAGCTCTAGTGGAGGAATGATAAATAATTTAATGCTCCTTCTCAGGAGTTCATTCAAAAAGCTTTTTAAGAGCCACCAACAAACCTCTAAAGAGCATTTCTTATTTTAGTTTGCTTCAACATTAAGTTCTCTAACTCTGTGATATAAATTGATTTTTTTTTTTTTTTATGCTTAGTATTCAATGTGCTCTTCGACGTTCCTCACAACCACATCCACCCCTGATTGGTGGATGTGTCAGGAAATTATGGAAAATGTTCAGATTTTAACTCTAGCAAAATTCCCTTTGCGTCCACCTCAGGTATTGACCTTAATTGCACCATTTGCATCATTAGAGACGATGTCCAGCCAGTCAGAGTCAGAGAAATAGGACTACACCGAAAAACAGGCAAACATCTATAAACAAAGGTGTTGATGGCAGCAGCACAGCTGATATTTCTCTCCAGGGTGGTGTCTGGCTGTGTTGGGCAAACAATATAGTAAAGAGAATTGGTCCTAGCACTGATCCCTGTGGTACTCCACAGGTAACCCTCGAGCATGAGGAAGATTTGTCATTAACGTAAACAAACTGGAATCGATGAGGAGGAGAGGAGTGCTAATTATCTTATTTTTAATAAAATCAATCTTATTTATAAAGAATCACATAAAATTATTACTGCTAAGAGCAGGTGGTATGGATGGTTCAACAGAGCTATGGCTCTGGGTGAGTTTGGCAATTGTATCAAAAGATATCTAGGATTATTCTTATTCTCCTCTATTAATGAGGAGAAATATGCTTCTCTTGCTTTACAAAGGGTCCTATTATACAGAAGTAAACAATTTTTCCAGACTTGGTAGGATTCCCAAAGGCCTGTGGAGTGCAATTTTATCTCCAGTTTCCTAGCATTTTGCTTCAGATTGTGGAGCTCTGCATTAAGCCAGGGAGCCAGCTTTCTATTTTGAAAGTGTTTCTTTTTCAAAGGGGCTGCATTGTTTAAGGCAGTACCAGAGAGCTAGCAACAAAATCATCAACCTGTGAAGGGGAATAAATGAAACTTTTGCCCACTGCAACACGACTCAGCAAAACAGAGGACAGAGAAAGTGAAACAGATTCTTTAAAATTTATACCTGCACTATCTAATAATGATCTGCTAAGGTGAAACCTTCTTTTGGGGGATGTATCTCTGTTAAAGCAATCCTGATGTTATTAAAAAGTGGTCAGAGAGGACAGGGTTGTGAGGAAATACTGTTATTTCTTCACATTCTATGCCGTATGTCAGCACAAGGTCCAAAGTATGAAGATGAGAATGTGTGGGACTATTCATATTTTGAACAAAGGGCCCCCATTGGCCCCTGTCAAGAACTGCCCATGCCTATCAGTTCTGTGTCCTTAAAGGCTTCGGCATCTGGAACTCTCTGTGCGGCAAACGCCGCGTCTTGTCAGCTGACTGTCTGGTAACAACCTCATTCTCTGGGCACTAACTGAAGTCTAAACCAGGTTAGAGACTCACGTGTTCAGATCACCCTCCATCAGGTTTTTCGTAGTCACTAACCTGTGTTTCCTCTCATCAGAGTTACTTGCATCAGATGCCCTTCACCACTGCTGCTGCAGATCCACAAGCTGTTTTTTACTGATTGTTTTATATGGAGTGTTCTGGATATGTAAAAGAACGGCTGCTTGAAGATGCAGTGTGTTTGTTTAGAATTTATAAAAACTGCTTGCAAAAGCCAGAGACTACTTTCAAAGGATTTAACCATCAGGGTTTCTTCTCTATAAGGCGAAGAAATTGTGGATTGCACAACAAATGCTTAAGTAAATAACTCACTGTGGATAACATGAAATTAGTATTTACACTAAGCACGTCAAGCATGCACTAGATGCAATTTAAGCACATTGTACAGTAACTCAGCATAAGTGACCTATTTTATACAGAATCAAAAATTATACATTACAGAATGTTAAGGCGGTAGCTTTTCAAACTTTCTGTGGCAGATAGCTGTGATTCCACCCTAAAGCAAGCTTGTTTTAAAACAGGAACAAGTAGAGATTTAGTTTTAGCTGCCTACTTTGTTGTTTTTCTTCCACTCTATAACAATATGACAACCAGAAAAGTTGTTCATAGCTGTAATTTGAACAAAGGGATAGCTCAGATTTTTTTAACTGTGAGGCTTTGTGAATCATTCTGTGAAATTACCACCTTAAACTTAATCTGTTTAGAAACTTTACATAAAAATTTCTAAGAGCACATTAGCTAGTCAAAATTTCATGCTGATATTTTAATGTCTTTTTTTTTTTTTTTTTGCTTTCTACCACACAATGTGGGTCTCTTCTGAGCTATAACAATGTGATGCAATACATTTTGTAACATGTATCAGAATAAGCCTTAAGACAGTGAGCAAGAGCCAGAGGCGTTGCATGAAGCCATGATAACACTGGGAAAAGCTTTCTAAGCTTTTTTATGGTTGGGCCTTCGATCTGCAAGGGAACTTAAAACAATAAATTTTTAACAATGTTTCTACAGCATAGAATGGGAAATTGTACGGCTAGCTAATGAGACCCCAGCATTGAAGTAGAAAACACTCTATATAAGTGGGAACTTTATCAGAAAACATTTCATGACAGGCCTTGTCCCACAAGTTTTACCACAGGCACTTAGAGGGGATATATTAGTCTCTGATTTCTCTGGAAGCATAAAGAACTTGGTTTCAACATATCCGCCCCTGGGCATGGCTTTCTTTTAGTTTACAGATGACAGCGATGTGGAGGAGCTTGTTTTATTATTCTAGGAAAGCAACAAAAGATCCAGAATTCAAGGAAAACACTACAAGTCATATGCATTTTTTTTTTTTTGTTAAAGCTGAGTAATCAGTTTCAAATGGAGAGCCTGATAGATCCAGTTCACTTTTTAAACCGTGTGAGGCAAGTTAGGGCAAGATGCTTTGGAGAACAGATGGCTGATTTTTAATTATTTCCTGAGAAATAATAACCCGCTCTATGCTAC